GAATACTCAATCGATAACAATTTACCAAAAATCAATATTTTCTCAAATAGTCAATCAGCAATACTAGCTCTACAAAACCCAAATACACATCTGAAATAATTCAAGATATTTTTAACAAATTTATCCACTGTCCTCAAATATCACCAAACATTTATTGGATAAAGGCTCACGTCGGAGTTCTTGGTAACGAAGAAGCCGATTCAGCAGCCAAATCAGCTACTACCAACAATAATATCCCTTCAAGAAAAAAATCTCCTGGCCGATATCATACCTCAAGAAATATCTACATAAAAATTAGCCTCCAAATGTGGAAAGAAGAATGGACAGCAATAAATATAGGAAGACAATTACATCAAATAGCACCTCATGTAAATGATACATGTACAATGGTCAATGGTTATATTATCAGGTTCTCCTTACTTGCTTTGGAAACATTCAAGAACCTGACTCGGAACAGGGAGCATACTAAAGCTATGTTCAATAAATGTGGGAAGTAGACAAGATACACAGGAAGGGTATACGAAACCCTTTATTTTTCACTCTTTACAATGATTTCCGGACTTCGGAATACAGAGACCAACCACTTGTGGTCTGAACGTAAGGAATATAAAAAATATTAACTAAACTCTAACTTAACTTTGGAATAATAAACAAGGGCCTACGTGGAAGATTGGCCGTATATTAACAGGAAGCCGTATGTAGTACAGAGAACTGTTAACACTACAATACGTTTAAAATTATTAAGAGGATTAAACCTCTGGCCTGGAAGGCAACCAGCAACCGAGTAAAAACTGCTAAGGCAAGCGGCCTGCTTCTACTAACTCCTTCCTCTCTCTCGCTTGGCAAAAAGCCACAACTTAAGTACTTGGCGTTCGCCAGACAAATTTGCATAAATAAGTTAACGCTTTTTATTCTGGCCGGAAGTAGAAAATAAGAAGTGATAGTAAAGATTTAAAATAAAATAAACGTTAGTAAAACTTAAGATCCTTATATACTTCCCGCCAGAGTTAATTAGTTTGAATCTGAGGTCTAAAACAACCTTGTTGAAAACTTTTAGCTCTAGAATCTAACGCGAGGCCAATCTTTTACAAACATTTCTCACTAGAAACTAGAAATTTAAAAAAAAAATTGTTTTTACATTATCAGCTCCATGGAAAATCACTTTTCATCTGTACTGCATCTAAACAGGATCTTTTAGTTCAAATCTGGTTCCTTCCAGAGATCTGGAAGGAAAACTACTTTACTGAAATGTTACACAATGAAATGGCAAGTAACATGAATATTTATATTTCTCTTAACATTCTTATTTCATTCATGACTTTATTTTAATTATCTCTCCCCGTGCTCTCTGACATGTGTTGTAAAAGAAAACACCAAACACGAATGTGTTTATGTATACGTGTTCAACACTGCCTCCTACAATCAAAACACTAACGTGTTAAAATTCAACATAACAAGACCTCGTAACACACCCTATCTTCATCTCTAAACCCTGAGGTACTATTCTGAAAGTGGCTAACTCTGAAGTGTAGCGTCAGAGAGTCTAACTACATTCATTCAACCTTTAACACATATTCACAATAATTTGGTCTTTTTACAGTCACACGAATAAGTTTAAAATTTTTGGCATTACTTTCACTTTTACCATATCACAGTATTTCTTAACATTTAAAATAACAGTTCACATTGTATATAAGGACATATTAACATGCCGTTAATTTTACGCAATTTAAAACATACATTAGTAGTACATTGTTAACTTCTATTCTTTTCCAAGCAAGTGCCAATTCTTCTACATTGAAATACTACATTTCAAAAGTCTTTCAGACTAAAACTTCTTTCTTGCCAGAATCTTTTAAATAAAATTTTATACAATAACTTTTTAACAATATTCAAGTATTTACACATCCTGTTATACATCAACTTTAGTTTTACTCGCGAGTAATTGAAAAACATAATACCAAAATAGGTAACAACTCATTTCTCGCCCTTTTTGGCGATAAAGGTAGACCTCACATGAGGTAAAACTTCTTGAAATCTGCCACTTGCAGTAAGAATGAAAGATTAACTTAAGTTTGCAAAGTAACATAAAACTTTTACTTATCTTTGTGATATTCGGACATTCTTTTCTTTTCTTTTCACTGCCCAGACCTGGAAGGTAGCGAAGATTCGTGTTTGATTTATCCTCCCTTCTTGTGCGGGCTCGCCCTTCAGTTCCTTCCTCTAGGAGCTTTCTTTTCCCTCCAGTTCGGTCACCCTTGAAGACCACCTTTTCCGCCTCTGCCTGTGGTCTTGGCCGTTTGATGGCCGCTGGTCTTGGCGGAACCGGGACACTTCTCTCTCGTTCCTGCTTGGATCTCGTTGCTGGCCGTTCAAATTTTCCTTGTATCTTCGCCTCCGCCGCTGGTGTTCCATTTCCCACATACTTCTTCAGATTCAACATCTCAAACTCTGAGCAATGTGTATGTGGAAATAAAGGTGATCCAATCCATTATATTACTCAATGTCCCTTAACAAAGTCAACTCATATTAAATTGCCTAATTCAAATATCAATGCCTTCCTTCGTTTTGCAATTACCAACAAACATTTAAAAAATAAAATAGAAAATACAATTAAATATCTATCTTCAATAGGCAAAAATTTATGTGAGCACTAAAGTAATTAATGTCAAAACTCATTTTTGAAGCTGCAATTCATCTAAAATATTTATTATCTAATTATCTTAAAAACAAACCCTTGCAATAATAATGATATAATAAAAAAAAGGAAAAAGAAGAGGAAGAAGATACAGATTCATATAATAAACTTTATCTCAAGGAACTATTATGAACTGTTATAAATTATGACTGTTAGCCTACTATTATTATACCTATTATAACTTCTATAATTATATCTAATAGATATTATATCAATCAAAATATCGATATACTATTTATACTGTTATATTATGTGTTATATTATACTATGTACTATTTTGAATATTAACTTTAAAAATAAACCGAAGTGTAGTGGGACTATACCTACATTACTTATAGTAAACATTGGGTGTCCCACTACATTTCCACCTGAACCTGATCCTGATCGCCTCATAATACATGCTCAACTTGTACGGTATATAACGGGACACGGTTCTTTTCCTGTATATTTTGAAAGGTTTGGCATTACAAATACGGCACAGTGCATTTGCGGTGAGTTGGGCACACCCGAACATTATGTAGTTAACTGCCCACTAACAACTGACTTGCACTTGCCGATCCCGCCAACGAATGAGCAAGCATTTAGCAGGTTCATGATTAATAACAAGCATACAGTACGAAAGATTAACAAAATTGTTAATAAACATATGGACCTCGGCACTGACCTGTGTCAAATCTAATTTTATATATGACTCTAAAGTATATCATAAAATAAACGGTTTGACCTGTGCTAAAACTAATGCAAATAAACTAAGAATTATCCCGTTATGTGGACTCCCTCGGCTTTAAACAATCCTCTGGCTTTGGAGCGGACATGTCAGACAGTCAGAAAATCACTCTCTTGCTGTTCCAAATGTATCTAAAACTGTTCTAATGTACTGTAAATAACATACTGTAGCTATAGCTGACATGCTGTACTATACATACTGTACTATAGATATTGTAACATACGGTACAGTACATCCAGTAATGTGGACTTCCTTGGCTATGAACTTTCCTTTGGCTGTGGAGCAGATATGTCAGGTAGCAAGATTTTGACTGTTCTGCTACTTCAAAATTAAGACTATAATAGGTACAATATGATGTACTTTTTGTTTTGATATTGACTTGGCTAATATGACTAATAACATGTACGGTTTTATTCTTATTTATTTGAGTAATTCCATAAAATCATTGAGAGATGACTTTGCTTCCTTGTACTATAAAATTTACATTTAAACTAAATAATTATTTTAGTAAAGTAATCGTTTTGTATCAGAGTAATTGTGTATGTATTAATTCATTGTATCATAGTTTTGAAACATTGTAATAGAGTAATCCTATTGATGATCGTATAGATGATAAGGTTATTACTTTTAATGTTTACCTAACTAGTATAATTGAATATACTAGTTAGGTATAGTTCTGTTACTAATGTTCTGTTACTAATGTTCTGCGGAATAGTTCTGTTACTAAATAGAGTAATCATATTGAATAAGAGTAATTGTATTGTTTTATAGTATCATTGTGTAAACTGGTTTGGTATAATTAATCATTGTACTTAGTAAATGCATAGAATCACTGTACTAAATTATTATATTTTAGTAATCATAAAGAATCATTCCATTGAATCACTGAATTGTAATGACCGTGGTTGCGATTGGTCTCAAAATAAAAATTTGGTAAAATTCTTTGTCTTATGTCTTCTTAGTAGCAAAATGAAAGATTATAAGCATGGTATCGAGTGCTGTCTGCAGTGGAATCTTGTCCTCTCCAAAAACATTTAAATGCATTTTTATCTTATTAGAAATGCATTTTAAAGATAAACTTATCTCCGTAAGCGTATTTAAAGAATGTTTTAATATTCTTTCTATTCTACATCTCTTCACTCTGGACTTTTGCTAACAAAAATCATAATACTAGCTCCTTACGCTGCATTCAGGCATGTTGAATTCTTTGCCATTCGTCCACTTTTGCGCACGCTCATTGTATGATGTCATTCATCGAATCATTTTTGTAGTTATTTTTGTTACAAAGTCCTTTCTCATAACAGCAGTTCCTCTGAAATGTTAATATAAACCCTCGACCGTTAAATATTTACAATTAATCCCGAGCCATTAGTTTCTAAAATGTTCGATACTCACCTCACGACCACACCTCGAGTTTGTGCAGTTTTTTTCATGATTAAAATATTACCTGAATGATTACTAATGAATTTGCACAGTAATATGACGTTTCCGACATGAAATTTACTGTTGAGGAAATAAGTCGACAAAACTGTGTACGTAGAAATGAAATTAACTTTTACTGTAATTTTGAAATAGGTCCAGACCGAGAAGTATGATTTCCTAGAAGACAGAAATGGCCAAGTCATTTTATTCATAACGCGCATGGGCGAAAATGACGTCGGAACTTACACATGCAAAGCCGAAAATGAACATGGCGAAGCCGAGAGGAAAATCAGACTCATGATTGCAGGTAACAATTTTCACTAAAGCGTTTAGATTCAGTAACACTTTTTTTTTCTTTGTCTTTCTTATACATTTCATATAGCTATTCCATATAGTTCTCATATCAGGTAATTTGAAAGAAAATCTGTTTTGTTGATTATTGTATTTGCATAAGTTGTCGCATGAAGAAGTATGGCAGCGCACATCTTCTTTGCCGCCCAACCGCTATAGTGGTTATCGCCGCTGACTGCCGTGTCGAAGAGCCCGAGATTGAATCCTGGATCTTTGTAAATGTGTAGTGTCCGTGCGGCATAGGGACACTTTAAATACACGGCTAGCCGAAAATTCTCTCGAGAGGTTGCTGGTTGGGGATGAGGGGTTGGAGACCCTCGTACCCGTCCCTCTGGGGTGCTTTTGCGTAACTGAACTAAGTCCCACACGCCTGTCAATTGCCAACAACAGGAGTACCTTACCACGAAGAATTTCGTGGGCTTGGGCTGACTGTAGATCAAATAAGTAAGCATTAGTCAAAATAACAATATCTTCTCCACGTGTCTTTTAGCAATTTTTCTGTAATTAATCAGCAAGTATAAATATTGACAACAAGAAAAAAGAATACTTTAAAGTAAAGCTTCATTAGCGGAGTTATATAACATTGCTGTAAATGTTTAAAAATCTTTAAATCTTTTTTTTTTTATTATTTATTTTTATTTTTCCTTATTGTTGTAGTATTGTCTATTGTTTTACTGAGTTATTTGTAGGTTTTAGGATGACCATTTTAAGGCTTATTTATTTCCTTTTCTTAATCAAACTTGCAGCTATATGTTTCCTATTTAAATGTTTATTTCTTTTATAAAATTGTAGATCTTTCAATTCTGAGTGCAACAACGTTTGAATTGTAATAACAGCTGAAGGAGAGCGTGAGATGTGACTAAATCCGCTGCTGACGGAACTCGGTAACAAGCTGACGACATTTAACTACTATTTTTTGTCAACTTGGCGACTTTTAGGAAGATTCTGGAAAATGCATTTTTGTAGCCGCACTACGATTCTTCCGGAAGCCTATGCTACAGTATAAAAATGTGGGTCCAGGAGCTAGGTAATCACATATGAATCAGCTGTGAAATTTAAGTGGTTAATCTTGCATTGCAATTTAGAGTGTATTTTCTGAAAAGTATCGGAAATTGACGATACTTGTAGTGAATTTCAGAAAAGTGTCGGAAATTGATGATTTTTATTGTGATTTCTGAGAAGTGACGATATTTGCGTTAACGAGGAGCTTAATATCGCGTTCTCCTTCAGGTATTTCTAACTATTTACTATGGTGTGTGTCGTGAATATTTATACAAATTGTCAATTTCTCCTTGCTTATTTGGAGTCATTATTTAGAGAGATGTTAACGGGTCCATAATTCGCACCGATATTTTGCATTTGAAAATATCTACGCAAGTCTGTTATATGTGCTAAGGAACATTTGTTAAGCAATTCAGTAAATTATTTTTGGAATATGTTTTTTTCATATTGTGTCCAAACAGCTTAAAATTTACTTTCCATTAATTCCATAAAATATTAATTGTTCTCTTATTAAACATTTCATGTTTTCCTCAACAGAGCCACCTATCTTTACCAAACGACTAGAACCGTTGACTGTGATGATCCGAAAAGGCGGCGAATTTAGGTGTCGCGTCATCGGTGTGCCATATCCCAAAATCAAATGGTTTAAAGACTGGTATCCTCTGAGTGAATCAAGTCGCATACACATCCGACAAGAAGAACCGGATACCTGCATTTTGACTCTCAGTGATTCGATTCTCAAAGATGGCGGGCTTTACTCCTGTACTGCGACGAACGCTGGTGGATCTGCTACAACATCTGCAATGCTAAGCGTTGAAGGTAAAAATTAAGTAGTGATTTAGAAAGAAAATTTGCATTTTTAAACAATACAGTGAAACCTCAGTTTACGAATGCAGTTCGTTCTTTGTGGCTGTTCGTCATCCGAAGTGTTCGTATGCTCAGTCTATTTTCCCATAGGAATTAATGCAAAATGGATTATTCCTTCCTGGACTACAGCTGATTGATTAATTAACTCTTACGCAGCGAAGTCGCTCAAACATTCAGACATCGGCAGGTCGCCCGAACGCCTGCGTCCTGTTGCTTCCCCCCATTACGTTATTGCATAGCTCATAGGTTTGAAAAGTTGTTAAATGACATGTCAGTCATTCTTTTGAAGCGACTAAAGCTTCGGTTATACGACAGTTTTGTCGTCATACAGCTTTTTAGCGTAAGGCATAAAAGTCAATAAGTCCATTCACACCTGTTGAGCAAGGTTTAAGCAATAGCCAATCATGAAAGAGAAAGTTGCGCATGCGTAAATGTGTAGCTGACTCAGAGAAACCGTCGACCGATATTTACTTTGCTGTGGTTGGTCAGCTCTTATACCAAGTGGCATAAAATTGAAAAGTTAAAACTTTTAGGCAAAATCCTTAAGCCAGTTTTTCTGACATAGCAAGGTCTGTTTGCCCAGCAACGAAGCTAGGCTCAGAACACTTTAAAGCCATCGTGTGAATGACGCTTAAAATCAGTTCTGTTGCTTGAATTCCCCTTTCCCTCTCCTTTGTTTGGTGTTAACGTTTAGCTATTCATGTTCACAGTTGTAGTCCTGTCCCAAAGGGAAACTTAACGCAGTGGACTGCATAAAGATTCCCAAGATAGAAGTAATCGTATGCTAAGTAAGACAATGCTGTGTCGTAACGTAAGTTAAGTAAGACAATGCTATGTCTTACGTAAGTTAACATGATTTATTGTTTACGTTACGTTAACGCAGTAGCAATCTACTTCGCATGGAGGAGGGTAATCCTTTTCAACAAAAATTCGTATAAACGGGCGTTTCTGATATTTGAGAGGAATAGATTTTGCCCTGTACATATGCGAAAGAGTTAAACTTTTCAAGAATACTTTGTCCACAAGTTGGTAACATCAAATCGTTCGAAATTATTAAATCTATGACAAAAATATAATATAATGAAACATTAAATAGAGAAATTAGGTGAAATTTAAGCAAAGTGAGCCACATTTTCTTCTACTTAGCACGATATTACTTGCGTAATCAGAACAGCTTGGTTTAATGATTTGCTCCCCTAACCACTCCGAAATCTGTTTATCAATTCCACCCTGCTCAGCGGGGAAAAAACGTCGCAGCGAGCAATAAACCAGAAGTTGATCTGTCAGCACTATTCGCATCTTAAGGGCAGATGTTTTTATTTTATTCGGCTTATAATTCCTTACTAAGTGTAGTATTTCATCTCGATGTACTCCGTCTTTGATATGATTTAAATCACTTTCCTCGTCATTATAAATATCACGAATGCACATTAAATAGTTTTCTGGTTGCAATTTTCTAATTTCGACTCCTTTTTCATTTACGGTTAATTCCCCTTGCCTTATAATATCAGTACCAATGATTTCTTGTAAAAACATTTCGTTTTCTGCGATAACACAAATATTTGATCGAAATGAAGAACCATCTATTTCGAATTCACCATCAAGTTTTCCTATAGGCTTAATTTTAAGTTCAGGAGAACCTATCTTTTTATGTATATCTTCTCGGATTAGCGTTACTTGACTACTAGTATCTATTAAAGCATCAATTTGCAAATTAGCTAAATTAACAGTTTATGCATTTCTTTCTGACAAATCTGAGTTATTGGAGTTACAGCTTAGGCCTCTTGGATATGTTTAGATGTTTTGAACTCGGTTTTGCCGTGTATGTAACAAGAGAGAGGAAGTAGAGTGGAAAGTACTGACGAAAAACAAGGGAAGAGATGTTGTTTTTATGATCACTGCCCTTCCATAAAAATATCAGATGACTGTGTTTTTCTGAAAAATTTTAGCGCCATTCAGGGACTCACTGGACCTCCGTCTCACTTAAATGTTTTCCAATATGATTTGTTGTTTACGTTTTAAAATGTTTCTAAAGTGACACATGCCATGGTCATTAAAAGCGTTTATACTGTAGCTTGCTACTGCTTGATTATATCGTCACAAAACACGTACAGTCAGGTGATGCAAATATAGCATCTTTACAACAAAATTTTGCACCTTACTCCATTTTACACGAATTTTGAAACTCAAACAACTATGACTAACTTTTAATTCTTTCTCTTTCTCTGAAGATATTTCCTTCAGAACTGCCTTTTATTGCTGCCTCTGACGTTGCACTAATTCGTTTTTATTGAGCTTATTTTAATTCTTCTGTAGTAATATATTCATTTCATTACTGCTAACGTACAAGCGCTTGGTTTTGCCTAGATACACAATATCGTAGATTAACAAAAAAGAAATCTTCTCATATAGATACCACTTTGAATTCCTTCTACGGCTTTTTAAATTATACACATTTTTTGCTGCACTTCATTTAAACTTGTTTCTTCGAGTTATTATCACTTTATTAAAAGATCCCTCGAGTCAAGTGTAAAATGACATTAAAAATTAAAATTTTTGAAATCAAATATCTTCAATTTTTGTAGTACGGAAGTCAAATTTCTTATATATATATATATTTTTTTTTCATAACGGGTGTAAAATTTTCCCAACTGAAAATATAGTAACAGGTAGAGCGCATTAAAATTTAGATTCCGTTATTTGTCGAACATAAATTTGTTTTTAAATTTGATATCGCCCAAACCTGAATATTTTCGTCATTTAAAGCACTGCTGTGATGGGTAGTATATGACTATGACAACAACTGCGAAAGTAAAAGCCGCGTAATGACTTAGCCGGGTAAGCGGCTTGGGTATACATATACATTTTGTACTGCCAATTGCAATAAAAAGCGGGAGGTGCATAACTAGGTGTTACAGCAGTTCCATATACAAAATTTCACTATTCTACCGCTAATACTGTTTGAGTTATGAGAAATACATAAGCACAAGCGTCACAAAAAATACATTTTGAATCCATTTTAAATCCATTTTACAATTCGTTTTGCGGAAATGATCCTTTTACTTGTCCATATAGACAAATGCCAAACAAAACAAATAGTCAAAAGGGACTCGGGAGCATCCAAATGGATATTTCCGTTGAAGTATGATACCCGAATATTTCGCGGTTATAATACTTGCTTTACTTCGTACAAAGAATTTAAAAGAAGCTGTAAGTGTTAAAGCCTTTAAAATTTCTATCTGCCCTCAGAATATGGCGATAATTTCCTCCACACCGAATTCATGGTCCCGTGAGTCACTGGCTGCCAGTCTTTCTTAAAGACAATTAAGCAACGAAAAGTGTCAAAATAATGTTTCTATAAGTCTTTGAGTGTTAACTCTGTGCCATAGGTTTTCTCAAAATATCTTTAAAAATCATTTATTGCCTGCTTGAATGTTCGTAATTCGAAGCACAATTTTAGACCTGAGGCATTTTTTATTTAGATATTTTTTTCGGAAACCGAATATTTCTTGAAACAAGATGTTCGTGATCGAAGGTTTCACTGAATTACTATTATCATTATTATTTTAGGAGCAGTTTATAGTGGGCTACTTTTGAGAACAATTTGGTACTTGCAGTCCAGGTTATCAATCAAAACACAGGTTTATTCAAAATGACTGCTAAAATTTCAAATGCTTTATTTTTTTTTCAAGTTTATGTGTTAGAAATTATAAGCAATGCATTTAATGTACGGAATCTTCCTACTGTGCTTAAATTTGAGTTATCTGTCCTATGTTTCTGTGCATGTGTACCTGTACACTGATGTCTATATTATGCAAGGAATATTAATGCGTCCAATATCCAAATATTTTGTTTTTCAAATTTGCATCAAAATTTTATTTTGATTTTTTTCAGAGAGTGAAAATGAATACCATCTCCTCACTTATCAGAAGCCACATGTCGTAAAACCCAGTGATCGACCATTTGAAGATTTCTATGACATCGGTGACGAACTCGGAAGGTACATATTATTTTTTTACTTGAAAAGTAAAACACAAAAAAAGTTTTATACGTTTAAAAAAATTGTCAGGATTCGGATGTCGGAAGGTACATATTATTTTTTTACTTGAAAAGTAAAACACAAAAAAAGTTTTATACGTTTAAAAAAATTGTCAGGATTCGAATCGTATGAGTTATTTTCGTTAATGCCTCTTGTGACATCATTGTCTTACATCAGATATAGCCAAACATGATTAGTTTTAACCAAAATCAGCAGACAAACAAGGTCGGGCTCTTCACAGGCTGACGTCACTTGCTTACAGAAATGGAAGAAACGAAGGCACAAAAGGAGTAGAGAAGAAGTTGCTTTCGAAGAGACTTAGGAATCAGTGACGTCATACAAAAGCAACTTTGGAGCCATGCCATTTTGCTAGGGATGCACGTTTATCATTTTATACATTAATTTCTAATGGTGCTTACTTTAAAACCCAACAAAATGCCTCGTTTTCCTCATTTTCAAATCAACGAAGAAACCTCGATTGATTTTAATATGGGTGCAGCTCCGACTTCTTGATCTGCAGTTTTATTGCTAAATTTGAACATAATTCAATAGTAAGATAAAGTGTTCTAGTTCATATTTTGAAAATAACAGCGATTTAATCCGCTTCTCATAATATTTTGCAAGAATCAGAGGTTTGTTTCTCGAGCTATTAATTTTCTAACTTCTTCACTGCTTCTAAACGTGTGACTGCAGAAAGAGAGATCACATGCTGTAGGTAACTGTAAGACAATAATGCCATAGCTTATGGAGAACAGCATCGTAGCTTTAAGCATGCGTTTCAGCTTTCAGTATTGAAATAATGCTATATTAGATGCTATTAGACCGAAAGCTTATTTAAGAGTAATTAATCACTTCCTCTTATATTATGTAGCCATTAATGGTCAGACACTCGTAAAAATTGCTTAACTGAGCTGGTATATCAGTATAGCACATGCCCGCATTGCCCCTATCACTTGCTCTACCATATGAGGAAGAGTTTCCACTACGTTTCAGTAGACACCTACTTTATACCATTCTTCCGCAACATAACAGATATGTGCCATTTGGGTTATTTCAGTAGTTAACTATTTTCTTCCATGCCTCCATTCTTCTGCAACATTACAAACATATGGCATTTTGTTGGAATGGAACATAGTAGATGTCTACTCTGTTCCATTCTTCTGTAATATAAAAATCCAGTATATGTCTACATCCTTTCATTCTTCTGCATAACAAAGATATGGAATTTGGATGATTTCAGTAGATTTCTGCTTTCTTCCATTCGCCCATTCTTCTGCAACATAGCAAATATATGGCGTTTGGAAATTGTTTGGTCTATTACAAACAGGCTCTTTTTATTCTAGAGATGTTCAGTTGGGCAGAGATCAAATCTTTGGGCTGACTTGTAGAGTTTATAAATTTCCACTTCCATAAATCATTCGGTTATGGCTTTCGCTTCATGAATAGGGACATTTTCTTAACGGAAACTTTATGGTCCAGTTCTAAATTGCTTCTGTAGAGGTGTTGAAATCGAATTAATGGCATGTTGCCTCATTTCGACATTTAGGGTACGAGGCGCAAAAGTCTATGGATCAAGACCAACTCAAGAAAAACAAGCCGACGTAATAATGCTTCCTCCGCCCCATTTTAGAGAACAATGCACTTTGGTAAGCAGCATGCGTATTCGCCAGGTCTATATTACACCAACAGAATGACAAAATGTATAAAATGTGCTTTTTCACTTGGCATCACTCTTCCTTTATTCTAGCCCTCTGAGGGTCATGGAAGTACACCTCCGCATAGAAGAATGGTTTTCCAATTCGTTACATACGCAAATTTCTGATGGTTTTGATTTCAGGTGTGATGTATTATATTGGAAGAAAACGAGTCAAAATGTTACAAAATGAGAATGTACTTATGAAATTGAAATCAAGAAAGTACTATTTATTCATGGCATTTGGGGGAATTTGAGGGTTTCAGAGCCAAGCGGAGTTAGTGTCCATAGTCAATAGAATCAATGTTTTGTTGCATAGTAATAAGCGATAAGCGTTCAGGCTAGGGATAATTGCTTTAAGTATTGTAGGTGGTCCGTGGAATAACAAGTTAAAACACCTCTTGAAGAAAGCTGCAAGCACTAGCATCATTTCCAAATGCCTAGCTGAAAATCCGTTGTCACAGTTTTAATGAAGCTCATCGGGTTGCCTTATCGTACGCGGGAGGTTTCCCTGCTTTGGGCTTTCTAAATATCTTACATTTCCATTTCATATAATTCATTGCTGCATACAGTGTCTGGAACCGGCCAGAAATCTCGAAAAATGCCCTGATAGAATCTATGGAAAATGATAATCATCTCTCTTTAAGCCTGACCTATTTCTCCCTGTATGGCCGTTTCAATAATTAGGGAAAGAGACTATTCGCCATGGCCGTTTTGACGCAATACGGCAAGATAAAATACAGTGATGTAAAGAAAAATACGTCTCGACGGCGAAATGTCCCGACGGCGAAAAGTTCTAGACCCCAATATTCATAGCTAGTATACATTTTTACCGATCGCTGTTGGTTTAATGACATGCATTAATGAATTTTGACTCATTTTGCATTCCTTTAAGAGGTGTCCGGTCATTAATCACAATATAGTCTATATTGATAATAAATGACTTCATTTTTAAAGGGGAACACAAGGTATCATCTATCATGCGGTGGAGCGTAAGACTGGAAGAAGTTTAGCAGCTAAAGTGATGCATGGCACAGGCAAGTTGATGGACTTCATGACAGCCGAAATGGATATTATGAGTCAACTGTCTCATCCTAGACTAGTGAGGTTATGGGACGCACATAGTACGAAGTCATCCCTCACACTGACTACGGACATGTATCCTTACTTGCAGTAATTTTGCTTTAACGTCACCAAAATATTTACAGCTATAAATGTTATTTTACAAAATTATTTTAAGTAGCAAATTCAATAGTTCTAAGGTATATGAGGCTTTACTAAAAAGCACTAATTATAGGAAAGATTTTATTAGGGTTATTTTGGCAAAATTTTTGTATTTTCTTCTATAAGTGATAAGGGTTTATTCAGATTGATTGCCTTGATTTGAAATGGCTTTCATTTGTTTTATTTCCTTGTACGAATAAAAGGAAGTATTGTAATCGTGAAAAATTTCGGGCATTATTTTTCAAAGAAAATGTTCATTTTGGCCGCTCTAGAATTCATTTCAAAGATGTTTTTGTGTGACATATGTACGTGCGGTTAGAATTAAGTTCTCGTTTCTCCAAAACAGATCGTAAAATGGATATAGAATGGATTCAGAAGGGACTTTTCCGTACGTACAGACATATGTATGTATCTCTCATAGCTCAAAAACGTGTATAAGACTGCTACTATAACATCTAGTTTTGCACCTCCCTTTTTAGTAGTCGCAATCGACCGCACCAAGCGTATATATATGTATACATACATATATATATATAGTATATATATATATATATAATATATATATAGTGGATCTCTTTTACCCGGCTCAGTGAGCTCTGCCTTTTATTCGTGTATATTCGTGAATTGTGCATTTTTTGCTTTAAATGTGATTGAATTATGTTGTTCGTAAGATCCCGTTAAGAATGTATGCACCTTTAATTAATCTGCATGCAAGAGTTGTAGAATTATCAAAAATTTAAATGTGTAAGTCACGCTAGGCCTAACTTGTCGGATATTTATTTACGTTTGAAACTCTTAATAGTATAGTGAATTAAGTCAGTTGGTATACCAACTTCAGTGTGTCGAGCAACTTGTATAAGATCATATGCAACTACCTACAGGATAGAAGACTCCTGGCAATACATAACGCGGGAACATTAGAGCAGAAGCAGACAAGAGGATGTCCGCAGGGGTCGTGCGCGGGCCCACATCTGTGGAATTTGACTTTTAGCGAAGTTCTATCAGCAACATGGCCAGCGCACACCCAGATTTACTCATATGCTGAGACGCGGCATTAATAGTAAAGGTCGGACTAGAGATGAGTTACAAAACCACTGTAACGAGGTATGTCACTATTCCACGTCCTATGCATAACTTAAAACTGCAAATGCAGAACACAAGTCGAAGATTTGTTAATCCCAAAAAATGGAGATCTCTTGTAAGAAGACCCACAATTAAATCATGACAGAGATCGTAGTTAACCCACTGAAGTATCTGGTCTAACGTTTCGACTATAAGATGACCTGGATTCCACACACCAGAACATCAAACTCAGGACAATGTCATAGCGAAACAGATGCGGCTATTCTATGGTCACAAATGGGGTCTAATCCCCACATCAAAGGTTCTTTTCATTACCGTGGTGGAAAAAATCGTTACTACGCAGCTGCGTTTGGGCTCACCAAGCAAGGTAGAAAGTATAACATCTTACACCATTCAAAGACCCCTTTGCATTGGGTATCACCAGAGCTTACCGTACGACCTTCTCAGACGCCATTAACCTTGCTCCCGGCTCCTTCCTCTACACATTCGGTCGAAGAGGAGGCAGCAAGACAATTCGTATGGCAACTGAAACGACCATTTCCTTTGATGAAGTCAATTACCATCCGGAGGATACGAAACCAACAGCTGCAGTTCAGTGTCCATCCAGCGGTCAAAGGCACGGGAATAATATTACATAATCCCACTACACTCACCATCCTCCACACACCATAACATGGGTTCGAAATTGACGAAAAATGGGAAGTGCGTTTGTAGTTATGCAACGAGGTACAATAAAAGACCAATGGAAGGGACAGCTGCGAAAAAATAATAGCGTATTTCAGAGAGAAGCAGTGGCGATTGCGCAAGCAATTCTCTACTTGCAGTCTCACAACATCCGCAACGCTACTATCAAGACCGACAGCTTCTCGTCCCTGTATGCAATAGGAAATCCAGACCATCCTTCCGGCATAATACAAGGTGTCCAAGAAGACCTGCGAAAAAATCCATCTCTCCGTACCAAATTGTAATGGATAAAAGCGCATGGCGGCTACCACGTTAAGAATTGGCAACCTCTCTTCAAAAGAGCACTACAGGACCGTCCGATTTACAAATTGACATCCCCTGGCCTGTCTCATTCCTGAGAGGACTCTGCGTTTTAAGGCAATTGGCTCATGGCAGCAGACATGGACATAGCGAAACTGGGAGACGGGCTCATTACCACATCAGCTACGGATATCACCAGAAATTGCTACAACACTGTCAGTACATTACGGGTCATGGCCATTTCCAGAATATTCAATAGATTCGGCATAAGCATTCCAGTCAGTGCACCTTTGGACAGACTGGCTCTCGAAACACTACCTAACTCCTGTCTCCTTACAAAGCTTCACGTCAACTTTCCTCCACAAATCGACAGGCCTTCTGTAAGTTTTTTAATAAAGCAAAGGCACCTGGTCAGAAAAATCGGGCTCCTAATGGGCAAACTGGCAGGAATAAATATGGATCTGTGCAAACTTAGCCAAACTCACAGACTGCCACAATAGACAAATAGCGATTTGGTGACTGGCAACAGTATCTAATACTTTGAATAATACTGAATGTGTGTACAACACTGATAGTCCTATTGCATGTATATACAAGCATTATTTAACGAAACTGGATTATGCCAATTATCTGTATTATGTTAACTAACTGAACTGTGCAATCGAATTAGCATTATCTGTATCTGCATATATTTATTCTTCTGTCCTTATATCATTTATTTCGTATCATCCTGTATCATGCAACTATTCAACACCCTGTATCATGTATCTGATTCCGCATATATTACTCGTATCATGTATCATGTAACTTATTTCATTCAACTTATCATGCGCCTTGTATCATATCCTGGCATTAGAATAAATTTGTATTCCAGCGCCTAGTATCATATTCTCGCAAAATCTTAGTTTGTAACTTATTCTGAATCCAGTATCATGTATCCCGGCATCTGCATATATAATCTCATATCATCTTGTACATGTACATTCTGCACCTTATCATGTATCTTGGATCTTGGTATCTGCCTATATCATTCTTCTGCACCTTGTATCATATATCTTGTAACATCCTGCAATACGTACATATTGTAAAATGTAACCCTTATGTTAAACAATATCTCGTATTCTCCTGTAATATGTTTCATATATCTCGTATCATCCTTTAATATGTGACCTATTTTGAACCTTCTTTCTTAAGTATGTGTATGTCACCTTATGTATGTCACCTTATGTATTTGTCACCTTATGTATGTCACCTTATGTATTTGTCACCTTATGTATCTACCGCACCTTATGTTCTACGTATCATGCATCTGGCATCTCCAATATTGTATTTTCTGCATATTGTAACATATATCTCGCATAACCCTGTATCATGCATCTTATTTCGCACCTTCTACCATGTATCCTGCCACTTATATCACTCTGCACGTCATATTATGTATCTTGGCATCTGCATATATCTGTATCCACAGCATCTTGTATCATATATCTCGCAACATCCTGTAACATGTAACTGATTCTGCTCCTTATATTCATAAGTACGTGTACGTCACCCAATGTGTGTCACTTTAGATATGTTCTTATGACTGTCCCCTTATACATCTCATGAACCCCATGTTCCTAGGTAAGATGTATTTAGGCATCTGAATATATATGTATCTTCTGCATAGTCTATCCGTAGCCACCGTATGTTCTTATGTATCATGTATCTAGGCAAGAGATAAAGGGGGACATGGCGCTATACTGATTAACCGTATTGGTAGAGGGATGGTGCCCACGTCCTCCGTCGCATGTCGCATGTTTCATGTCTTTTTTCGCAGTGAGACCAAAGTTAACTTTAAATTTTTGAGCACCGAGAAATTTTGTCTTTCTACACGTTTGACGAATTGCTCGTTCTTGCGTAAACTCTAATTTTAACTTTAAAAATTGTATTTTTAACTGTTTCTAACTGTGTTTGATGTTTTAGGTTTTTTCTATATTTTACAATTTTCAATGAAGCTGTTTTGAGTTTTAAAGTATTTTTGCCTTGCCGTGAAGTCAGAACTGAATCGTTTCAGTGAGAAAAATATCTTTAATGAAATGCGGAGAAATAGGTTTAGATGAAGTGAGCTAAAAAAAAAAAAAAAAAAAAAGTGTATAATTTAATTGGCCGTATAAGCAAGTCATGTAGTGTCCACATCAGATTTTTTAATTTATAAGTGAACAATGACAAATAATACACTTAATTTAAGTACTTTTCTCATTATATTAAAGTTTCAATTGTTTGTACTTTGTTTCTGTTCACAAATGTCCATATTATTGCATACAGAAAGAGAAATGCGAGAATATAAAACAACAATCTTATTTAATGCTGTCAAAAAACAATGCTATCTGAGTACATCCTATTTAGATAAAACCTTCCTGAGTATTTCAACTCAAGCAAGATAAAATAGCACGCTTACACTTTCAACCTAGATTGCATCTCCGATTTTTATTCTTTTCAAGTTCCAGATCATATTTAAAGGGGAATGAAACATGTTGCCAAATGATAAAACATGAATAAATGGTCCCAAATTTTGAGTTTCGTATCGCAATAAATAACTTTCAAGTAATTATTTAACCTAACGCTCAGATATTAACAAACCTAGAAAACGAGTATTAGGTTGTGATAGTATTCTAACTCCATTAAAAAATATCTGATGACTTCCTCGAATGGCCTGTTAAATTATATACATTTTTTGCTGTGTTTCCTTCAAACTTATTTCCTGGAGTTCCATTAGGGATTGATTTCTCATTCATTTCATTCAGTTCTCATTTCGTGGCAAGGCAAAAATCAATAAAACTAAAAATATCTTCATTCAAAATTTTAAAATACAGAAAAACATAAAGTACCAAATGCAGTTAAAAACAGTTAAAAAAATAACTTTTACAATTAAAGTTAGAATTTCTACTCCAAAACAAATAATTCGGCCAACGGACAGGAAGGCAAAATTTTCGCTGCACAAAATTAAAATTTACTTTTGGTCCCACTCGGCAAAAAGATACTGAAGTTGGTGCACAAACTGACTCCAACTAATTATGCCACTAAGAGTTTCAGACGTAAACAAATGGCGGCGTTGTTAGGCCTAGCATCACGTAAACTTTTAAATTGTTGATAATTCTATAACTATTGCCTGCAAATTAACTAAAGACGTAAAACCCTTATCCAGATTTTAAGAACAACGTAATTCAATCACATTTATATAAAAAAATGCACAATTTACCAAAATACAAGAATTAAAAAGAGCTCATCAAGCCGGGTAACAGAGTTTGTCTGTTATTTTTCAAGTGCCTGCCTTATCAACTGTCTACACCAGGTTACACGTCTACTTTGGAAGCAACGGGTGACTAGGAATGAGGGTTCGATTCCGGAGAGGGAGTTCGAGAAACGGCGATCACATCCAAAGAAGGCAGCAGGCTGGCATATTACCCACTCTCGAAACGGGGAGGTAGTGATGAAGTTACTCTTTTCGGACCTCATAACTGGAATGAGTTCACTCTAAATCCTTTAACGATGATCTGCTGGAGGGCACGTCTGGTGCCCACAGCCGCGGTAATTCTAGCTCCAATAGCGTATATTAAAGTTGTTGCCCTTAAAAAGCTCGTAGTTGGATGCTACGTTTAATCTAGTGTTCTGAATATGTAATATATTCCAATTGATAATTGCCATAAATTTCGACAAGGTAAGAATTCCGTGCGTGTTAACAGCTACAGGGTCGAAAACGTTCGATCGGGAATGGAAATGAAACACTGCAGATGCTTTTATATTCACAGAATCTTCAGAAGACAGATAGAAGAGTCAATAATTTGATCTTAACTTCTTTTCAGAATTAAATAATGCCTATATGAATACGTATTGTTTTCGATGATAAGTAGTACACTTATGTGGCATTCATTATGTCGACTCTGTCATAATTTCTACGTTTTTAAACTGATCTCATATATCTCGTTTGGTGCTTGATTGCAACGATTGCAACCAAAAATTGAGGTACACAACTATATGTTGCAGCAGTCCCATACACAAAATTTCAGCGTCCTACGGCTATTCGTTTTCGAATTATGCCTGATATATACATGCATACGTACGTCACGAAAAAATCTCTTCTAAATCCATTTTACAATCCGTTTTGGAATAAAAGAGTCTTTTACTTTGTCCGTACATACACATGTCACGCAAAAACATCGTTCAAATGGGTTCGAGAGACATCAAAATGAATATTTTCGTTGAAATATGATACCCGAAATTTCTACGATTACAATGCTTCGGTTACTTTGCACAAGAAAGTAAAACGACGCAGAGAATTTCTGAAAAAACTTTCGCTCCATGAGAAGCGTATTTCTGTCAGTAACCTTTGACACTGATAAAATTTTGTGTAAAATCTACTCTAATTTAGAGTTCTTATTTTATATACCAGCTCCGCAAAACGTGCAAGATAACTATACCAAACCTATGAAACAAGTTTGTGGTGGAATTATGTCGCAGGTTTAAATTTGCACCAATATGTATATAAATGAAATGCTGTTTTAAAATTATGTATTTAGTATGTATTTTTAATATAATTTCATGATCTTAAGTGATTTATATGTTGCTAAACAGAGAACGTCCCATCAAAAGCACCCAAACTCTGCAAAGCCAGATCCCAGAGCCAGATTTAGGCTTGATAAGGCCCTAAGCTGTTTGAGATACGGGACCCTTTATAAGTCTGTTATAATATATTTTAATACTATTTATACTACATTTTAATTTTGGGGGGCTCTAAGCTGTAACTTGTATAGCTTAAATCCGTTCATGCCAGATTCTTTGGTTCCATAAATAAAAAATACCAAAGATCTGTTTTCGAGACAAATGCAAAAGAAAAGAAGGGTGGAAGGGAAAAAAAATCTTTATTGGAAATGTGAACATCGGTACTTGCATATGTTTATATAAGAAAATGTTAAAAAAGTCTGTCTGGTTATCGAGGTATGCATGCTCGCGTCGTCGAATAGCTGATTACACAAGTTGCAGCAGCGTGGTGTCTACCAAAGTCAACGCACCGTGAAGATGAGCAGCTAAGTTACTTTCTGTAGTAACTAGGTCTCGATACACGAATTCCGTCAGATGGACCCATAGGAAGGTATCCAAAGGTGTCAGATCTGGCGACCGTGGCGGCCATAAAACCGCGCCCCCCAAGTCCAATGCAGCGGCTTGAGCAGTCCATATCCAACCAAACACGTGCAGAATACATTATTAGCATGCGAAGATTACCGGTAGTTACTAGACGCAGCCTTTTAAATGCGGTTCAAATGACAGCTTGAAGTCATTCCACGCCGAGCGCATGCATGCCTCGATTTGGACATTTTGAACATCTTCCTAATATAAACATATGCAAATACCGATGTTCATGATTTCACGTTTTTTTTTTTTTTTCACCGGATTTGACATCATACTTTTCTTTCGCATTTGTCTCGAAAACTATGGGTCGTACCAGTGCAGTCTTTTTACGCATTTTTTTTTTTTTTTTTTTTTTGGTGTTTGCGTGTGTGTGTGTATTTCAAGCGAGCAACGTAGCTATACAGAGTTTGGTCTCGATGGAACATCCTGTACATTTGAGTTGGTTATCCAATATCAGGATGAAGATTCCAGTTTATGATGGAGGGATAACTTGCATTCTTTACTGTTAGTATTTTTTTTTTTTAAATTTTACTTCCTTAACAATAGCACAGTTGTGGCGGAGGTGAACTTCTACCTCACATTTTACGTCAAGAAAGGTTGACAGAAAGTATTGTTGCCCACTACATAAAACAAATATTGGAAGGCCTGCAGCATATGCACGAGAAAAACATCGCCCATTTAGGTTTAACTGTAAGTAGTCAAACTTTTATAAACATTTAACGCTGAAATTTATTAGGAAAGTGTATGCTTTAACAGCGCAAAAATAGATAATTTGTTTTATGTTATTACGATATTGTTTATGCAAAAGCTGCCTTAATGAAATCATTAATGATAATCTGAATTGAAAATGGAGTATATAATGTGTGTAATTTCATGCCAAAGAAGTATTTAAAGAATATTATTATTTATATTCAGAAATATAGCTCTGAATTTGAAAACATAATCATTATAATTTTTGTTGAAAAAAACGTGTTTTTTGAGTTTGTATGTTAACATTGCTAATTTTTTTAATATTAATGGCATAAATACATATTTCCCCGGTAGTGCTTCATTTTAACTGTCTTGCACAATCTCTGCAATATTGCTATAAAATTATAAAATTATGTGAAACTATTTATGTGCGTTATATTATGTATTATTGTAAATGCCACGTTGTAATGCGGGAAACTCTTCGCAAATACCGATTTTCTGCTTGTGAATAATGCTTTTAGAATCGGATATTATTATTTGTGGCATTTAGTTGTTCTGATGCCTAGATGCGATATCTTAAATTTTCTTTCTCTTCCTCATCTCCATTACCCTATATAAGATACCCGATAAACATAATTCCTATGTGGAATTCCTAAGTTACCTGGATTTTCTTTTAGTGCTATAGATGGCGCCCAGATGAGCATCTTCTCTTCTTTTCGCCATCCAAGACCTTGTACCAGAGACACATATCATGTACCATTCACTCTAGGTCTCCGTAAAGAACTCTGTAATTGCATGGAAAGTACTGCCTAGGCAGTAGAGCCCCGGAATAACTGCCCAGAATGCTGCAGTGCCGCAATTTTCAAGTGCGCATCGGTATTGCAACTGAGGTTGAGGCTTCGACTTCAGATCATTGCGCTTCTACTGTTCATGTGACACTTATTCTTTTAAAGCTATTGTTTGCATTTTATTTCGCATTTGTTTTGTAGTATCCAACATGCATTTGCATTCTATTCGGATATTTTCAGACAGCTAGAAGAGTCTACATAGTTACTTATTTTGGATCTAATTTTGCATTGTAAATTTTCACAAGAAATGCACGACTTTTAATTATTTTATAGGAAAAATTAGGCAAGAAAAAAATTTGAAACAACTATTTACGACTATCGCTTGTAGTTCTAAATCAAATGCTATCGTTCATTTTCCTACACATAATTGCTATGTACACAACTTATGCTGTTTTTGGTGTAGAAAAACGTTAGATGTTATGATAAGGTTTAGCCCCCTTCGGAACCAGAAACTTGTGGTCTTCGGCCAGATAAGAGAGGTAAATTATGGGCCAGGGAAAGAAGTGATGAGAAAGAAGACACATATATCCAAAATCAATGTATTCGTTTCATGAACTCAAAAGTTTTGTTGGAAGAACTCAAAAGATCTGCTTGTTAGAAAGACTAGTGCGAAGCACATACGATCTCATAAAATTAGCAGTGCCGCAACCTTGTGTTGGACTTAGATTGAGTCAATAAGTCAACTGGTTTCGAGGGCAAATAGGTATAAGTTCCTCTTTATCAGGAGAAAAGAAATCTGCAAGACTGGAAAGCAGCGAGCGCAACGGTCGTATTTATTCCTGTGGCAGTAAAGCGAACTTTAATAGTTATGAAATTGAAAAATTAAGGTAAGAGAATTTTAAAAGCGTTAGATAGGCCTGGTTTGGACTTAAAGTAAATAACTAAACAAGATAAATCTTTCTGAATGTGAAACGCTTCAAGAAAATGCAGTTCACCAGTTGAAGAAGCTTTTTGAATAATTTTTGCAGACTCAAAGTCAAAATTATGATTAAATTTCCACCCATGATTAGCTATTGTTTGATTTTATATATATTATACTTTCGGGCAAGGAAAGGCAAGGTTGCCAGATTTGGCGCAAAATAGCCCATTTGGCGACAAAATTGGCGATGTGCTATAGACGGAGCGAGAACATTCTAGAAAGAATTCTTACCTGTTTCCACCTGAATGTTCAAACGCTATATAAACCCTTCCTGTACGCGGAGTAAAAATATCGTGGAGAGTATCTTGAGTTCACTAGTAGTCACTGAGTTCAGAGGTGAGCTCAAAAGCGATCGACCGAGTCGGGAGCTGTACGTTAGTGCTTTGCCTTGAAGCTGTCTTCGCGGTTATAGCCTGATAGCCTGAAGACTGTGTTGCTGATTGGTTCAGCGTGTTTACGGTAGTTTTTCGACAACTGTAAAAACTTGTCTTTGAAACTGGCCCGTGTAAAACTGACGAATAAATTGTGTTTTGATTTTTCATCGAGTGTTGTCATCAATCACTCCAAATCCAAGAATCCGTAAAACGCAACAATATTTATGTGAAAAGTGTGTTCTATCAGGTGACATTTAATTTCAGATTAAAAATGTCACATGGCATTTAGGCTGGAGATAGTTAAATCTCTCTTCTGGTTGCGATAGCAAAAATACTCAATTCCCGTATGTAACTGAATATGAGTTTGGTGGATCTCTCAAAGCCCTGACTTAACACTCGTATTAAGGCAAAACCTCGATGCAGACACGTCATCAGAATAGTGTTCGTGATGACTCACCTGCTTAGATATTAAATCAAAACAAAAGTGTTTAATCATATTTGGTGTAGAATGTACAGTGTTGCTGCCTAAAAGTTTGCAAGTACTTACCTTGTTCTCTAGAACTTTATGCGCGTTAACGTTGTGTCTGTCTAGAAGTTTATATTACACGTATTTACGTTGCAAGTTAATATTCGCCCTTAGTCTCTATAAGAGTTAGTCTAGTTTATATTACCTAAGAAGAACAAATTCTAAAAGCTACACAGACACAAAAGCGCAGGTTGGCTCTGATCCTAAAGAATCCATTAGCAAAGAGAATCCATTAGCAAAGGTGCCCTTCAGCAGGCGCGGAACAGGCTTTAGTTCTACCCTCTAAAACCTTCCTTTAAATGCTGTCTCCTTTCTACTACATTTGAATACACACATTCACATTCCAACAGGAAAATAGAAAGTGAGAAAGACAGAAAAGCAATTTGACATAAAATAACCGTTGTTGCTTGTAACTAATCTCGCTTCTCTGATATCAGTTCAAGCCTACGAAAGACGCAAGGTTGCGCCTGTCGTTGGCAAGAGCCTTGAGCACCATACAGGTGACAGTACGACTTTTCCCAGTCCCCCCCTGCAATGTTGAGAGACAGAACCCGGGGGAAAGGGTCTGATTATCTTCCACCTCTCTTCCCCTATACCAGCCTCTCGAGAGGACTTGCGGCTCCCCGTATATTTTAGAGTCCCCCCATGTTGCACAGCCACTATACATTTACAAGCATCCATGTCTTTTCGGGGATTCGAACCCGGGCTCTTATGTATGAAATCACTAAACATTGTACCAGCTGGGCGGAATAAAATAACTGGTTAGGAAAACTAAATGAATACTTAATCACATAACTGTCATTTTTAAATGTCATATTTGCTGTAGATACTGTCACTTAGAAATGAAGTTATGGTTTTAGTAAAAGAAGAATCAGAGTTCGACTGCTAAATTATATAATAAAATTGCTTAGCTGCTAGTTTTAAATCAATCTGTCTTAGCTTATAACAATTTTCTAAACTGGAAACGAGAGGTGTTTGAATCAATTACATTCTGATTAAATTGCTGTTTGAAACATTACGTGATAAAAGATTTTAGCTTAGCTTAATATTCCGCACATAAGAAATAATGTTTTACTACTGGGAAAATCGGGGACATAAACCGGCTGTAAACAAACGCATACAGTTATCCCCTGGTAGGAAAATTTGATAAGCTTGTATCCTTAGCATAATTATATTCCATAGCGGCAGTTGTACAAAAGGTTTTAAAAGTCTTCGGCAGTTTCTCAGCTTTCATTTGATAGATAGTTTTGTAGTAAGATAGATAGTTTAAGTAATTTTCATGAAAACAGTTTGAAGTCTACTAGCTATATTTTCTTTTTTTATCTATCAGCATTTCATCCTCTTTTTCGCATTCATATTATTTTCCGCATACTTATCTTGATGCAATGCATATCAGCATTTCATGGAATAAATTTAACGCAAACTTTCATTTATTTAATTTATTGATATCAAATTAAAAGACGTTTGTTGCAAAATCTTGTAAAATAAATTGTCCTCAAATTTCAAAATAAAGCAAGCAAAATTTAATACAAGTAGCTCTTTTCAGAAGTTTATTCAGGTAGCTCAGAAATTTCTAAATACATTTCAAATGAATTTCCTACCAATTTTTTTTTTCATGCGCCAGGTTAAGGGACTACGTTTTTTTTCTTATAGATTGGTGATGTGCTTTTGACAAGGTATAACTGTGACAACATCAAAGTTGGTGATTTCGGACTAGCCACCCGTCTTTATCCTGGCAGAGAATACGTACAAGAGTACGGGCATCCAGAATTCGTTGCTCCAGAAGTTGCCAACAAGCAACCAGTCACATTAGCTGCTGACGTGTGGTAAGTGTGACCTCACATACAGACGTTAAATTTGTAATAGTGCTTGTAAGTAATTACATATGAAAATGGCATTTAGCTCATAGCGTTTATCAGTCTTTTGGGAGAAAAATAAACGGGACTAGTCAATTGTACCCTTACCAAGATTCCAAGCATGAGTCTTCTAGTTGCTACCTGGATGTATTAACCGTTTGTGCCATGAGAACACGCATGAGGGAATGCGATAATTCGTTTCATTCTCCCTTCGATTTAACGCTTGCTAGGCTAAAAGGTTAAAAGGCGACTGAGGATAGCCACGATACCCAGTATACTAAATTCTAGTATTGATGAGTTGCACTTCCCCATATTTCAGTTCGGGCACCGTTGTAGAGGCACAATTAGGCTTTCAGATACAAGGAGTGGAGTAATCACCCATGTCTTCGTCGGCATTAGAACCATTCCATTTGATTAAGTGCATGTGCTTACTACTTACACTACAGAGGCACGCACGGGGAACGTATATTTTTCTTATAAGCTATCCTAAGAACATATTTTCTTTGAGTTATTTTATTTGTGGTATGATTTCGTTTTTATTTTACGAGTACAAATATCATTTTCGGGTACTGAAGTTAAGAAGTTAGTATTGCTGCGTATTCTGCTAATAGAATTTTCGCAGAAATAATTTCATTTGGTTTGCGATACTCGTTTTCGAAAATCATTTCAGAAGTCAAAATTATTTTTATGTCAGAGCATATGCAGCAATGATTTATTACCAAAAATATATGTACTTGTGTTAATATAGCAATCTTGCATTTTCTAATTTTCTGTTTCTTTTCGTTTTCTGCAGGAGCGTCGGAATCATCGCTTATATTTTGTAAGTATTATTTTTGATACTGCAATTTTTGGATGCATTTCTTTTTACTATATTGCATTGGTTATAACAAAAAATTAGTATAATGAAAAATAATGAAATACTTACACGTCACGCTAAATAAACATATATCTCTTGCAGAATTTATTATTTTCTTTATTTTTTTTGGCTATTTCGTAAGTAGTATCTGCCATGTAAAACGGAACTATCTGTTTTACAATTTGATCTATGCTCGAGGCAAAAAAGCTATTCATTCTAAATTGACAGAAAAGAATTTTGAAAAAAAAAAAAAAATAGTCATATAAACATTTTCCATGCGAGAATCTTTATTTTTGTAAGTGGCATCATCAGTTAAAACACTTGTGGTTGAGCTATTGTCAAATGAAAGCTTTTTTTTGCATATCAACAATTGAAAAGCTCATAATACGATAAAGAGATCACCCAAAGAGCATAATCTGCAACGAGTAAAGAAATTTTCCAATATTTGCAGACTTGTCGGCGATTCTCCATTCCTCAGAGAGAACGACAGGGAAACTTTGAAAGAAGTGCAGCAAGGAAAGCCAGACTTCTTCCACGATGGTTTTGTTGTGCTATCTGATGATGCGAGGGATTTCGTAACACAGCTGCTACAAATAGATGCCAGGTAAAAACTATGAGATTTTAATATTATAAGTTATTAAAATAAAATCCATGCTGCATTATCTGATTTAGAACATTATATTTTTTTTAATTATTAAATATCCAATAATAATTAGCACGTTATTTCATTTGGCCAGCAAGCGAAGGCCTGTCATGCTCCTATTACATAAAACAGAAATTTTAAAGAGATTTAAATTTTCCAAGATGTAATTAATGATTTTAAAATTTAATTTAGGAATATTAATTTTAAATTTAATTTAGGAAACGTAGAGTGTAAGAACTGCGTAATAAAAAAAAATCTGATATGTACACCACATGACCTTCTTGTACGGAATATTAAATTATACGTATTTTTTCTTAAATTTCATTTAAACTTATTGGATTGAATTACATTTACTTCGTCGATAGCGCATAAACCACAACAGAATAAATACACTCTTTAAAATTCACTATATTTGTTTACTATAGCGACACTCTGGCGCTACGTTCACTTAACAGCTTTATATTTCGTTTATACTATAACTCAGAATGCACAAAATTTATATCATTTGAAGAATTATCTTACCGTTGCCACATGTTCTATTCAAATACTATAATAAAGCTAGAACGATGTATAAAAGAAATTAAGCAAACAAAACAAAAAAGAAACAGTTTATCACAGACGATTTAGTATTTCTCATTAATTCAGTTCTCACTTCGCGACAAGGCAAAAATACATAAAAACTCAAAATATCTATATTAAAAATTACGAATTAAATCTTAAACACTTATTTCCTCGAAAAATTTCCAGAAAGGATTAAGCATGATTTAATTCGCAATAATAAATAAAGGCGTATCTTTGTTGTTGCGAAGCTTAGTCCCTCTAGATCGGCAACAAATTCACTATTCTGCTGTTTCAATTATAAACAGATATGTCCGCCATGTTATTTAAAAATTAGGCTTAACAAACTTAAACAACTTTTAAATTGTTGATAATTATACAAATATTGTTTGCAGATTTCCTAAAGGCATAAAAACCTTAACCATAAGATAAGAAGAACATAATTCAATCATTTTTAAAGCAAAAAATGCACAATTTAAGTAAAGAAACTGAAACAGTAAAGAAACTGAGATCACTGAGCCGGATAACAGAGTGGATATATATATATATAAATATATTTATATACGATTGCAACCAAAATAGGAGGTGCACATGTACATGTTATAGCAGTCCTATATACAAAATTTTAACGTTCTGAGGGTACTCGTTTTTGAGTTATGCGAGATGCATATGTACGTACGTCCGAACGTACAGAAACCACGACAAATTCTCTTCAGAATTCATTTTAAAGCAGTTTTATAATTTTGTCGGATCAAAAGAGTCTTTTATTGTGGCCTTACGTACAGATGTCACGCAAAAACATCGTTAAATTGCGTTCGATAGCGGTCAAAATGGATATTTTCGTTGAAATATTCTGCCTGAAACTTTTCGCGATTACAATACTTCCTTTTTACTTCGTTGAAGGAAGTAAAAAAAAATTAGAATTAAAGTAACCAAAAACGCTTTAAGCTTTGCATTAATAGATCGTTATTTTTTTAACACACTACGAATGTTCTACGTGTGTTTCACTGGTTACACTGTATATGACCAAGCGATAGTCCATTATCCATTACCGAATATTTAATAATATTGTCACTAATTTTTGTGTATATGTCATTATTTTTAGTGAAATTATACGTAAAATTGTAATATTTTTTGTATAATTTAACGTGAAATGCTTGAAACAGACGAACTCTGCCGGAAAAATAATATTACAGGTGCAAGCCTATTTAACGTTGAGTTAAATGGCTATGTTGCTAAATTGGCGAGATATCGCCAAGCTGGCGACTACTTATTTTTGTCTCCAAATTTGGCGAGTAATTTCCAGAAGTCACCGAACTTGGCAAACAGTTGGAGCTCCACAAAATTTCTTCATGCAAATACCATTGCATGCGATGGCCCTTCCTGCAAAAATCATTCTCTAAGAAGAGCTTTTTGTTCGTGATTAGAGTATTTTCTCTCCGAGTTATATCTAACTACTACTTAAAGAATTACAGGATTTTTAGAATTTTATTATTATTTATGATATTGCATCATTTGTAGAATCTGATTACTGTTTTTAGAGGAAAGAATTAAATTTCTATCTCTTCTTTTTAGCAAGCGAATGGATGTCAGTGCTGCTCTTAATCACAAATGGTTACAAGTAAGTGATGTCTTACGAAAAAAAATCTAGGTTACATTTTCAAATGTTTATAGTTGTAAAGCACTTTTCAAAGTTGTAGCTTTATGTGCCTGTCTTATGATATGGCATCAATAAATGCATTATAAAATTTTCTTTACACAGTTAGACGCAATTCCCGATAAATGTGATGAGCTGAATAATCTAGACAGACTTCAGGATTATTATAAGAGGTGGAAGTCGTGGGTAAGTATATACAGGTTTTGAAGATTATTCTATTCTTAAATAAATAAAATTTATTTTAAAATTTCATTAGCAGCAAAAATTTTGGAAACTGCGTCAGAACGCTTTCGAGGTCTAGAAAATAAATAGTACATTGTAATAATTCTTTTTGTTATATATATATATAAATGACATTGTAGAGTCATTAGGATTTTTTTTCATGCTGGAGACGTGAATAATATGCAGTGCCTTTGCTGGGATTCGAAAACCGAATCTCTCGAATACGCATTGAGTGTGTTTCAAGTTATATCACAAAGGCATGAGGGAGAAAATACCTTATGTACTCCTGCTTTTAAAGGGTTCTGGGAATGATGGGACCCAATCAAATAATCTTGTGGTGACGACTTATCGTCCACCACCTTTTAATTCGGGCTCCTCTTTAGAGTCATTACGGAAAGGAAGGAGAAAATACTTTAAAACATATATGAGTCTTTTCAGTTTGGAAATTAAACTTTACTTTTTATTAATCATCCTATATTCTTTTTCTGTAAATAGTTCTTTCAGTTTTCTATGATATTTAGTTAAGGCTATGAGAATATGTTTCCTATGTCGTTTCTGTTTCCATATGCCCTTCTTCAGAATCTTTTCCTCTTCTTAAACACCGTATACGCTCGCGTAATGTCCGGACCCCAACTTTGCAGATAAAATTTAGGTAAAAAAAATTGACTCGCACAATGTCCGCACTAAACTAAAGAATACCAAAACCAAAAACTAAAGAATTTCTTACGTTAAAATATATTTTTTTGACATCGCCTTTTTGCCTTCTGATAATAAACATCTTTAAAGAAAGAAAATGCATTTGTTTTGCCTTCTTGTGTATTTTTAAGCTACTGTTTGCAGCAGAAAGATTTTACATTCGCACACGCAGACATAACAACCAAAACTTTCATACAGTGCGTCAGAACATAATTTTCTTAAATAATGTGTGCAAGATATTAAAAAGAACCAACCTTTATTTAACTCGTATAAAAGTAAATATTAAAATTGTAAGTGTTGGTTAATTTGTGCGTCTGCATTGTTGTGCTCCTGCGCGAACAAATACGCGGAGTGTTGATAACATGAACGGGATAATTTATATTATATATGCGGATGGGAGAAAGTGAGTTTGTAAATTTTAGGTAGATACTAGACAACTTTAAATTTGATACTTCTATTCCTTATTCCATTTTCTTCCACTTAGAACCTTTGGCTGTTTGAAATGAAATTTACACCCAAAATTACTCATGAGAAAAAGTGTGACATTTAAACGATCCGTGTAATGTCCGCACCTGCATTTCAGTGATGTAATTTTAGGAAAAACGTGCGGACATTACGTGAGCGTATACAGTCTATTAATACAGAAGCCAAGAAATAGAGAATCTGTCAAATATATTTGGAATGCGACACAATTTCTGCTTGCAAGTCATTTTGACTGAGAGTAAACAATATATGACTTGATAAATGATGCATTTTAACACGATATTATGAAAGAACTTATAAGGTATTTCTCCCGCCTTCCTAGCGTGCCTTCGTGGTGTAGTGGTCAACACACTGAGCCGGTATTTCAGAGGCCCGTGGTTCGATTCCCGGCGAAAGCGATTGCTAATTTTTCATCTTTCTTGCTTCCAAAAATTACCTAATGTGTCTACACTGGCACCCGAACTAAAACGTGTATGTTGGATGAGGATTCTCCATACCCAGGATTTGGCGATTGGGTCCCCTAAAAACCTCAGTCACCCTTTAAAAAGGGGAGTATATAAGGTATTTCTCCCGCTTTCCTAGCGTGCCGTCGGGATGTAGTAAATAGCACACTGAGCACACATTTCAGAGGTCCGTGGTTCGATTTCCGGCGAAGGCGGTTGCCAATTTTTCATCTCTCCGGCTTCCGAAATTAACCTAATGTCTCTACAGTGGCGCCCGAACTAAAAAGGTTGTGGATGATGACTCTTCACACCCAGGATATGGCGATTGGGTTCCCTAAAAACGCCAGTCGCCTTTTGAAAGGGGGAGTATATAAGGTATTTCTCCCGCCTTCCTAGCGTGCCTTTGTGGTGTAGTGGTCAGCACATTGAGCCAGCCGGTATTTCAGAGATCCGTGGTTCGATTCCCGGCGAAGGCGATTGCTAATTTTTCATCTCTCTTGCTTCCAAAAAATCCTAATGTCTCTACAAACTCAATATAGCAGTGTGAAAGAAAAAGCCTTCAGTAGATTTTATGTTTAAATTTAGGTTAAAATAACACTCCAAATAACGATTATTGAAGTTTAACAACAAGAATGAGCGAAGTGTTTGTAAATTTTGCAGAACTAGTTTTGATGGTTGAAATACAGAACAACCGTAGAATATGGTGATAAGATTATAAGGTATTTCTCCCGCCTTCTAAGTATGCCTTCGTCCTGTAAGCGGTCAGCACACTCGACGCGTACTCGAGAGGTCCGTTGTTCGAGTCCCGGCGAGGGCATTGCTCATTTTTCATGTCTTCTTCTTTAAAATAACCTAATGAGCCTGCAAGATAAGAATGACTGGAAAGAAGCCAAAAGCCAGTAGCTTGACTTCTTTACAGTCATTCTAATCCTATCCACATCTTGGCACGGCGGATAGCAGATCGCAGTTACCATAAGGCACACTCCAAGAGTTCCGACATTCATTACCACAGGAACAGGCGCTACTGCCACAACAAACGATCAACAACACTATTCCCAGCTTGCCTCGCCATTGTCAAGGAGGCATTTAAGCTAGACAGTATCTAACTGCTTATTAGCGTGATGTTTCGATTGCACATTCTTGAGGTCTTTCGCGATGTGATGGTCGTAATACACTTGTTTTCTATGTCTTTGCTTTATTTTGTGCTGTGTGGTTGACTAATGCCACACCAACATCTTAGATCAATTTCACGCATATCCATTAAATAGTTTTTGTTTTACTCCGTATTTTGCCTTGTTGCTTATTTTTTAGCAGGAGTGTAGATTGAATACCAGGTAATTCATACTTCTAAGTGCAAAATTCATGGAGCTATCTGTTAGAGAATTTATTGATTTAGATACACAGATATATCTGTTGATGTAGGTTATGTACATCTCTAAATTTATAGAAATGAGCTCAGAAAAATATCAGTTATTCATATCACTACAAGTTCTGCACATAAGGATTTGGAGAATTTCATATTAATCTTCTCAACACGTAATGAACATTTTGCTTTTCTAAAATTGTATATGATATTATATATATATATACATATATTTCATTTCCATTATCCTCCTTTCCCAGTATTAAAATTAACTCCCAAAATTCTGTACTTTATTTTGAAAGTTTTATTAATTCGTAATACATGTCTAAAACCATTGTTAAAAGAAACGAAGCCCGTCATTTACTTTTTCGAACACATGATATGCGATATGCGACGGGGGACGTGGGCACCATCCCTTTACCATTGGGTTAATTGGTACAGCGCCACGTCCACCTTTATCTAGAGTTTGGCTATTAGAATAATGGGAGATTGCATACATATTTGAAATTGGTATTAAGGAGTGCACTACATACAATACTTATCGGTAATACATATAAATTATGGGTTAAGGTACAGTTGGCCTGTAGATATACATAAGACAATGACATATTCGTGTATGGTATGATAGATTCACATAAAAGCTACGCCATATATATCTGCGCATTAGGACATACATTACTGCATTGCAAATATCTAGCGGAAATTAACACAGACAGAGGAAAGTGGACAATGATTATGACATTACAACATTCATATTTACAACACTAATTAGCTCAGCACAGGGGAGTGAAAAATACTGTACCTTGATTATAAACATATACAGTTATAGCAACAGATACAGGCTATTACTATTACATTGTCACATCGTCTCTATGACAACTGAAGTTCATTATTATAAATATATTACAGTATAACAACAGATACAGACAAATATTAATAGGATTAGTTGTGATACACTACTAAGATATGATATTACTTATGCAATGCGGCTTAGGCCACATATCAGACTTACAGGTATAAATGCTAAGACAATTATATATCATATTTAGCACGTACAAATGCAAGGCATTTTAATGTACAGTTTAACAGGAGATAGCAAGTAGTGGTTATTTAAAACATTATGACACTGTCACATAGTTGCGCTGAAAATAAAATTTATATTGACATACACTAAGCATAATATACATTTATGCAAAAAAGGAGTATTAATATTCACGGTACAAACATTGACATTGATATTTATAAGATGCATTCAGTTTGACATTAAATGTGTATTATATACATTAAAAAGGGGAATTTGACTTAATAAATAAATTGTGGTTGTAAAAATTACATTGCTACAACATCGCTGTGACAACAGATATTCATTATAAAAAACATAAACATACGCCGAGGCTGGAGTATTTTGTATGTTAGATTATCTACATGCACCTCTGCGGCAGTGTGTGCAGTTTCTAAGGCTTTTGATGCAAGTTTGTCTGCGCGGTGTGCTAGTTTTGACATAAGTCCAGTGTTCAGTTCTGCTAGTTTGTCCATTATGCGTTCCGATTTTCAGGACTAAATGCCGCTGTTTGATTAGGAACTTGCAAAAGGCCTGCCTGTTGGCGGTCGGTATACGGATGTGGTTGTCCCTCTGTTAATGGACATGTTGTTAGATAGTGCTCCCGGGAGCCGAGGTGACCACATGTACACTGGTCTGTGTGCCAAAGTCCAAATCTTTGTGAAATATACCGGAAAGGGTGGTCCATGACCCGTGACATACCTTATCAGCTGTGTGTGTTGGCGACATTCCGTGCTGTGTCCACATAGCTGATATGGTAATGTACACGTCTGCCAGTGGTGCTGCTGTCCCATTCCTGCTGCCATAGGCCGATTGCTTTGAGTCGCAGTGATTTCTTTAGTAATGACACCGGCCGTGGTATTTCAATTTGTATGTCTGTCGGCCCTAGTGCCGCTTCTTTAGCGAGTAGATCCGCCATCTCGTTGCCGAGATGGCCTACATGTGCCTTTATCCACTCCAGTTTAATGTGCCTATTGCTGTGGCGCAGGCTTTCCTGGATATCCTGTATAATTCTTGAGGCGTGGTTAGGGTTTATTATTGCATGTAAGGACGATAGACTGTCGGTTTTAATGGTAGCGTTTTGAATGTCATGGGAGAGCAGGTAGTTAACTGCTTCAGCAATCGCTACCGCTTCTCCCTGAAAAACGCTATTATGCGGCCGTAATTGAGCCTTCCATTGTGCATGAATTGCATCCTGTCGCATAACAACGTATGCGCTCCCCACATTTTCGTCGATTTTAGATCCGTCAGTGAAGATGTTATAAAACGTATGAGGGTTTGTCGTGATGGGATTGATGGTAACCTTGACTCCCACACCTTTGCTTGCTGGGTGCACATGTAGTGGTCTATTGGTGCCCTCGTATTCTTCCGGATGATAATAATCCTCGTCAAAAGTAACTGGTTTTTTGAGTTGCAGCACATTTTGTCTGGCGGCCTCCTCTTCGACACGGATGTGAAGTGGAAGCAAGCCTGCGAGAACATTGAGCGCGTCTGATGAAGTTGTGCGGTAGGCACGAGTTATACCCAACGCGAAGGGTCGTTGTATTGCATGTAGATGTTTGATCTTCCTACCCTGCATTGGGTGGGACCAAACCGCTGCCGCGTATGTTGCAATTTTCTCGACTACTGCTGTATACAATACTTTTTGAATGTGGGGGTTTAGCCCCCACTTGTTTCCGTAGAACTGCCGCATTTGCTTGGCTATGGCATAGGTGCGTAGCTTAAGATCTTGAATGTGGGGGATCCAGGTCATTTTTGTGTCAAACGTTACTCCCAGGTATTTTAAATTATTAACTATTTTAATTCTTTGGCCGTTTAATTTGATAGTGGGGCGTCTTGCGAGTGAACCACCTTTCTTTGGAATCAGGACGATTTTGGATTTGTGGTCCGCTATTTGTAGTTTTAGATTTGTGCATCTAACATAGAAGAGATGGCATACTTCATTGCAGTGCGACTGTAGCTCTTCCCTGGTGCGACCCTTGACAATCATTGCGGCGTCGAACACATGATAATGTAAAATTGATCAATATACAAAACAAATATTTGCCTGTAAATATATAAAAGGCAATAAGCTAAAATGAGAGTAATTTGTAAATGCGTAAAGTAAATTAGAACCTCTTTTCGAGTATGAGGGTTCCAGTCATCAGTGAAACGGATTGGAAAGCAGGCGATTGTAAAGCAAGAGGATGTCTATAAACCATAATTTTTAGCTAGTGTTCTTTTAAGTAATTCAGCAAGACAAAACAGTAAAAACTAATCATCACGTATGTCTTTTTTAGAGTACATACTTTTTTTGCGAAATGAAAGGCCATTTGAAACCATAATTTAGGCGATGAACAGCAGATTGAGTCAACAAATAATGGAAAATAAACATCTAAGACGACTGAAAATTAGGGCTATCCGTATGATTTCGAATTTGAATTGAAATTCAAAAATTAATCGAATAGCAAAATTTACTTATAGCAGAGCAAAAACTGAACATCTACTTATTATTGCTTTTAAGCCTTACAATGAATATTTAAATTCGAATTAATCAGCATTTTTCCCTATAGTATGCCAATGCTTCCTGTCGATGGTTCTTCCGAAGAAGAACGTTGGAGTCTTGTTTCACGCATCCCAGTCGCATGGTCTATCCTCCAGAAGAAGAATACACGCCTCCTTCTACTCCCGATTTGGAACTGGACAGAAGCCGCGTCAAACCAGCAGCCTTCGATGACGTCACTTACCGACAAAGGATCGAAAGAGAGGCCATCGATCCTCGATCAGAAAGTCAGTAAGTATTACTTGCTGATTTGACCCAACATCATTCGACCATATGGCCAGATTTTAACAGTCACTGTATTTTATTCATCATCAACCTCTGCATCGTATATTCATTCTTATTCCAAGAAATCTTACTCACGTCTATCTATGAACCAAAGAAACCGTTTGGGTGGGTTATGGACCAGTAGTCCAAAGAAACCACTTCTTTGGGTCATGTACCAGTATCCCAAAGAAGTCACTTCTTTGGATTGTGGACCAATATCCCAAAGAATTCATTGATTGATGGACCAGTATCCCAAAGAAGTGTCACGGACCAGTTTTCCAAAGAAGCCACTTCTTGGACAAGCCACTTCCCGGACAAGTATCGTGGTTATAGACCAGTATTCCAGAAAGCCCACTTCTTTCCTTCATGCGTCAGTATCCCAAAGAGCCGCTTCTTACTGCAATAGTAACACTATGTTGCTGTTGTTTCCAACGGCCATATATTAGCAAATTAATGCATTTGTCAGTAATTACTAAAGCCTCTATGTCATTTAGCCGTCTCATTGCCGAGAACGTTGCGCAAGAAGAGAGATCAACCCCCGGGAGAACTCTAACCCCCCTTTCCCTACCACGAATACACTCATAGTAAACTGAATTATATTCCAATATTGTGGTAAAAGCTATGAAATTTGCAAAGTACAGTATATTAGGTGTGTAAAAGTTACATATAAGTGTATTAAAATCTCTACTTTTAATCATTTCGTGCTAAAAAAGGTATACTTCATGTAATCATAACGAGCCTCAGTTTCACTTTTAGATGCTATAAGAATAATCATTATGATGCATAAAAGTTGACTAAATTTATATTTAACAAATCGGTAATAATCATCAGTATTCAAATTGAAATAATCATTATTAATATGAAGTGACAAACTAAATATACCAAAATAAAATATTTACTTTACCTATGTGAGTGTGATAAGTAATCGTTTTGTTACATCCAAACTTCAAGAAATTCTTCTATAAACTTAACCATCCTGTGTATGGATTTAGATTGGATTGGATTATTTAATTATGGCAAAGCACACGAGGGCTATCTGCCTAAAGGGAGGGATGCCTTCGTGGAGGAATTTCTAAGGGAAACTGGCTCGTATATACGTTACACATGGGGAAAACCACGAAAACGCCCATGCAGACAGCTCGTTCGACTGGATCTCAGCCCAGGTCGGAACTACCAGTGTTCAGCGTCTTTAACGCTCGGCCGCTGGTGGATACCTGTGTATGGAACTAAAATCGTTACATAAGGTGTCTGTGAAAACGTCTTTTAGCTATCATAGTCAAGATCATATTTATACTAAATCGGGATTTTCTACATAGTAAATTTTTAACCTCTTGCAGATCATTAGAAGAGGTTATCAAGCCTCATCGTGATTACTTCATGATGGTAACCTCTCTATGAGGCATGATTATCTCTTCATGAGGTATGATTACCTCTTCTGAGGCATGATTAACTCTTCATAGTAATGACCTCTTCATGAGGTATCACTGGTCTCATAATACTTTCGTAAGGCATGGTTTCTTCTTCATGGTAATTATCTTTTCATGCCTGATTACCCGATGAAGAGATAATCGGGCTCCATCAGCTATCATACTATGAGGCATCACTGTTTCTAACTTTTTTAACATTTATTTAACACTTGTGGTTAGTATCCATGCACCAAATTCATTCTGTTTCCTTGATATTTAATTTAGGAAGGAAAAAGTAATATACTACTAATTACATTCATATTGTAAATCATTATTAGTGAAAGAGAGTTAAAATGTGATACTGTAATTACGTTTTTCAATACGTAATAGATAACAGCAGTTATTTCTTCAATTAATTCAGCTACCAGAGTGGACCGGATACATTCCTGTTACCACTACGTGATCCCGATTTCCCAGTGCGAGTTCGCAGGTATCTCAAAGTGGGTGCCTACCGCAGCCCACTGTTGGCAAGGCACTTAAAAGACAAACACTGGGGCTACAGCGACGTAAGTCTTTTTTAATTTCATGTGGCATGATAATTCATGGATACTTTTCCTTGCAGTTAAATTAACTCTTTTAAGCCCTTTTATATTATGTTTGATTGTTGTTATTTTTCCGTTGTAAGGTGGCAGTCAAAGAGCGCCGGAAGTTCACCGATGTCATGGATGAAGAAATTGACGATGAGAAGAAAGGACTTTCAAGGTCCGCTAATTTGAGGTTACGTCACGAAGTAGGAACAGTTGGTTCCGGATACGAGCACATAGAATCCAGGTGCCAGAAAAAGAAGCGAGGCTTTAGAGGAACTGCGGGTAACTAATTTATTACGATATCAGCTATCTGTTTGTCGTCTTTCGTGATTCGTCATAATATATCACTAAATTAAAGTAAAAGGTTGAAATTTCGAGCCCTTAAAAAACAAGCTGTTCACACAATTTTTAGATGACTTTCATTGTACTTATAGAAATATTTTACCTATTTTTTTTAAGTTCTTTTTTTTAAACACCTATTCTTCACTATCTTTTTACATCGTGATTTCAGGACAATAAAACCTTTTATAGTATCGGAAGAGGTTACTTCCTTAACAACTTTCCAAAGTCCAAGGAGGGTTGTAGGTTGACATCTGGACAATCCGCTTTTCAAAAGTCCAAAAGCGCAAAAATCCATGGTTGATTCGAGTACATAGTAGCGATATGAATGAATGATATAGCCTCGATACCCATTTCTTAATTCATTTTACCTATGACATTAACTGCGGATTTTGAGGTGTGGCTGCTTGCTTTGTCTTGATACAGTTCTACTGATTGATGGCGCTATGTATAAAAAGAAGGCTCTTCATACTTGAAAACTGGTTATAAAATATAGTTCTGATAGTATGTGGAGTTGATCTAAGCATTTTTCTCCGGTCTCTTTATTTTTAATCGGCCGTTATATGAAAACCCAGCAACAATCATAAATCCCTTTGGAAAAACTTTCTTTAGATTCTTTGAACCATGTTTTAAGTTTTTTTCTCCTCTTCGCTGGTTACAAAAGGATCGCTTTTTATTGCAATCATTTAAACACATGCAAGATTCATCTATTGTGACAACATTTTTCCATTTGTCTCTGGATAAATGTTTCTCGTAAATAATTCTTGCAGCGCGCGTTCCGTGTTCGGCGATATGTGGTGGAGAAGGACGACGCACATTATATTTTTTCGCGTTTATGTGATTCAAATCAGCATTAATCACTTTATTTACAATTACCAATGAGCATTTTAATGATTTTGCAACTGCCATATATTCATTATTGTGGTCAGACAGTTGAAAGGCAAGAATGTACGTGTCAAGTGAGATTTTGCAACTTGTGGGAAGACTAGGCGTAGGAATTTTAAACCAATTAGTTTGCTAACCATAAAAGATTAGATTTATATTTATTATTAACAGATTAGATTTATATTTTATAACAGATTAACAGATTAGATTTATATTTATTATTAGATTAGATTTTTATTAACAGATTAGATTTATATTAGATTTTATTTAACCAATAACAGATTAGATTTGAAAGAAAAATGCAGTCTCTTACGCTTCGTCCAATGGCAACAAACCGTCTCGAGACAAATAAAAATATTTTATATCGGGCAGTACCAATATATTTCTGTTTAATAGCTGAGTCCTTTTGTTAAATTTAAAATACAAATACCTTACGGTTTGCGAGTGATAATACATTTCTTTCAAATCGCCGAATTTATGATTAACTTTGGAAGCTTGCATTTTGTCGAGTGGCAACAGATTGCTTTTATATCGATGAGTTTAGCTAAAATGACATTAAATTCGTGCATAATATGAAATAAGTTGAAAACTAATTCGAAATTAAAAATTCCGATTTCGAGTTCTAATACCTGCATGGTTGACAATAGGGCAACGTTAATTCTACCAGGAAGGTCGGTCTGCCTCCCCCCACATCACATCACTGTGTATGCAGAGGCCAGCATACCCCCGTGATTTGACTGGATGTTTAGTTTTCATGGTGTTCCTCGCGTATAATATGAACATCTGTCACTTTCTCTTAGAAATTCCTTCACAGAAACGTTCATCTCCTTAGGTAGATAGCCTTCGTATGCTTTGTGATATTCAAATAAACACTGACTTTCTTATTACTGGATTATGCCAAAGTATCAACCCTACTCAGAGCTCTTCTTGTTATAGGCGGGAAATAAGTGACAGTGGTTAGGACTGCCGGATATACGGCGACGGTTTGTGACATATGTTGGCTCTGTTTAGATAACGAGGGCCATCATAACGAGGAAGGATATAATCTGCTATGTTCTAAATAATATAACATGAAGTTAATATATTTTAAGATTTGCAGCAACAAATTTTACTAGCGAGTATTAAAAACATTTAGATAATGTCTTATCACACGCTCGAAGTGTAGACTGACATTTTCCAGTAAGAACTTCTATCAGTGCTAATAAAAGTTAGGTATGGCACCCCTTAACCATTAATCAATAATATACTTAAAAATAGTATGAATAGTTAGACATTATTTTGAATATGATCTTTATATCTGTACCTAAAATTATTAATAAGGAGTTATTCCTCATTAACATATTGTGAAATAATTTTGTTTACTTCTATATGTCCAAAGATATGGTATTGTTTAGTTATTCCCTGAATAGAAATAATCGACTAATATAGGTTAATCGATTAAAATAGATTTATAGTTTTCTATCCAGACAGGTTTACAGACACTGGTTTTCTATAGATTAAACTGTAGAGTCGTTTTTTTTTTTTTTTTTTTTTTTTTTTTGAGCAGGAACCATTAAAAAATCAGCGATGTCCTCTAACTTCCAACCGAATGTGCTTCCAGTTACACGACGAAGGCGGTAAGGAAAGGGGAAATTCATTTATAATCTCCTCCATTTAAAAGACGATTGGGAAGGAGGGAATTCCATCTTCATCTTCAGGTGTTGACCAATTATCGTATACCACATTTTAGTTTGTGCAGTCTTTGGAGAACTCTTTGGGCTTTTTCAATGCCAGCATATAGGTAGAATCAACAGTGTTGTCGCCGAGATTCGAATTCTGCGCCATCTGATGCTAGCTGGCCGTGATTTCCTGCACTACGAAAGCCCGCAGTAAAGAAGGAAAAAATTCCTTACAGAATGGCCTATAAGTAAACATGCCTTTTAGATGTCCTTAGATGCATAACTGGGGTTACAAATTACGCAAATTGTTTTTTAATCTAATCCTTTAATCGTCAAATGGTGAAAACACGCCATTTTGGTATTATCGCAACCAACTTGGCAGAAGTCACCAAACTGCGGCCACCATGCACATAACATTTCTTCAGGTAAGTATATCAATAACTAAGTTTGCATAAGTAACGTCGCCCTCTTCGTAATGCATCTGGTTGTATTAGAAGCTCTGAAAGCCAATTGTGTTATTTTTTGTCTTCAGCTGAATTTTGAAATATGCGCTGGTGGGATTTACCTTCAAACAAATAAAGACCTGTGAAATTTTTCAGGAATGTAGTATTTTGCTACAAAAGCGAGAATGCTTAAGTTCGCATTTGATGATGCTGTATTTTGGACACAAACCTTTTTGGTAATGCAACGTGAAAACGTGTAACGAACACGTTGGTATTCGAAGTGGTAACTAGTTCAAGAATAGTCGTATGATGTTTAATACAGTAATCAGATTTATATGCTGCTAGAGCAAAGAATTAACGAGCGTTAAATTTTGCTTGGAAGCGTTGGAAAGAGCTAGTAAGACCATAGTAGACTGGAAAAATTACATGTGGCAGATATACAGAACAAAGAACGAAGAAGAAACGTAATTATATTTGTTAGTAATATTATAAATTGTTTTCCGAGGTTAATATAAAACTGAAATTAAAATATAGTACTTAACTAGTGAAAGGATCCGATGCCAGTTAAGTTACTAGATTGAGAGTAATATATTTAACAACTGAGAGAACGATACCGCTGCAATCCTTCTCTAATAACGATGCAAAAAATACGATTCAGAATCATACATTTTTCAGCCTGATGCGATATGGAAACCGCATAAAAATAGAAAAATAAACTAATTCTCTCTCATTATATCAGCAACAATGGCATGCAGGTTTTAAGGATTTTTGTCTTTTTAATCAATTGGTCGTAAAAGCTCAAGTTCCATCCGATATTTCACTTATATTCAATTTTAGTAGATTAAATGTGGCACAAAATTGATCATAATTGATCAGAAATCAATAACGCGAACAAACAAACAATCACACATTCTTCTTTATATACACAGATTAATACACAGTACAAATTTTTGATTAACAAACTCCACGATTTGCAAGCGAGCAATGACAACACTTCTCGAAATAAAGCACATTTCTATCTCCAGCGTGCGAGACTGTTACCACTAGGTAACATGAGGGCGAAAATCATTGTTTTTCTGAGCTTTCAATTAATATCTCTAATTTTAGCTTTTTCCTTTTAGAAAAAAGTGGACGCCGAACTTTCCCAGGACCCAGAAAAGAACTGTAGAAAGTTTGGTGACAACAGCTGTAGTAGTAACTAAGTTAATCGCGAACAAACAAACACACAACCAGACATTCTTCTTTATATATATATATATTTATATATATAACGTATATGATATGAAATAAGTAAATTTCTCTGATTTAATATTACCATTCGTTTTCTTCTTAAAAAAATCACCAAATTGCACCAAGGTAGTTGCGGGAAACACATCTTTCTTCTAAGCAACCGTGACTGCATTGAGACATAATCAAGTCATCATTTTTAATCAGACAAACTAATATGCTTCTCAATTGTTTTTCCAGGAACGGCTCCTTACTTCAGAGAAAAGATCAAACACGCTGTAGTTCGAGAGGATGAGGAAGCTGTGTTCAACTGCCGGGTGACAGCATCCCCAGAAGCTCAAGTGTCCTGGTTTAGAAATGATGGAATCCTCATCGAGAGTTCCAGGATTATTGTAAGAATTGCTATTTCTCAAAATCTTTACTCACTTTGACTAACTATCAACTTCCCTACCCATCAATAGTAATACAGTGTGATCCAAACGTCGCTCACGTGAAACTTTCAAACATTACGAAAATGGTATTAATCGCTTAGCAACCGCGCCTGAGATATCTCGGGAATAGATGCCGTTTCGATTTTCCTATGAATAAGTTAACTCGGGGGCTGAAAATTTTACGGATATTTAATGGCAGAGTGTCGATTGTCGCGCGTAATATCGCGTGATAATCGACTCTCTGCCATGTACATGTTTTCTTAGCTGTGGGAGGGGCTCCAAGCGGCTTTTCTGATTGGTTCCACCTGAGCCGCAGTCGGTGATGTAGCCGCATTATAAATGAACTGTAAATTCATTTTGTTTTGTTCAGCCAAAGCGAAATAAGTAACATCATCAGTCATCATCGATGACATCACGTCAGTTCCGCAGCGAGATCAGTAACATCATTTCCAAACTACGTAATAAGAAAGCACCGAGACATGACAATATATCAAACAAAATGCTGAAAAATCTACCTAGAAAGTATATCTCTAAACTCTGTGGAATTCTGAATGCCTGCCTACTTCTAAACTATTTTCCGATGACTTGGAAACAAGCTTTTCTTAGCGCTTATATTTTTCTTTCTCTAATCGTCGCTTGCGTTGTGTTGTAGTTTCTCTTCGCATTCTCAGTTTGTGAAGCAAGGGTCATTTTAAAGGATTATATTTTAAATATATATTATTATCACGTTAACATAGAAATATGGGGAGAATTTTCGCTACATAATGGGACATTACATCCGCTTCATCCAACTCTATAAAACTACAATTCTTTAATTCTAAACACTTTAAAAATCTTTAGAACTCTGTCTTACTGTTGCCACTTGTTAAATATTACAATCTCATTTATCACAGTCATGTACTATTATTTATAAGTTGCTGTAAAATTAATTTTTACAGTATGTGAGAATTCCTAATAAACGGTCATTATTTATATATTTAATAAGTCTTATAATATATTTAATAAACACAGCATATCTTTAATTCCGATAAACAGGAATTAATAAGTACGAATTCACTTTAATATGTGAAAAAACTGTATTAGCATCAAGTGCCATCCACTAGAAGTTTAAAAAAATGTATTTGAATTTGAGTATATGAATAAAAAGTATTTTATTAACGATTGAAAATTTGAACAAGATATAGAGATTGTGTGAGCTAATAGTAGGAATTTAAAAAAAGGTGTGGTAGGAGGACCTCCGGAATTAGAAAAGAATTATGGGAATTTCAGGAAACAATTAAAATTTATATAATTAAAGGTGTTAATAAAGAAGATTGACAAAATGTGTGTTAATTATTTAGTTAGAGGACTGATATAATACAATTTATTTTAATGCTTCTGTTACGGAAGCTTTTTAGTTTACTGTCTATTCTGTTTTTCAGATAACTAAATGGTCGGATGGTCGGTGTTCTCTGACTTTGAGACCTGCGAAAGCTTATGATGTGGGCGTGTACAAATGCGTGGCGAGAAATGCCCATGGTGTTTCGGTGTGCAGAGCACGATTGAATCTCGGAAGTAAGCTGAAAATTAGTACTGATTTTGTAGTCATTTGGTTTATATTTAAATTTATGCTTAATCGAAATAAAAAACGAAAATTGGGACCTAAACAATAGTGTCCTTTTTTCTTACCTAATTCCATAGTATCTTGTAATGCTGGTAATGCATAGTATCTTGTAATCTCTTTCTTGTAACGCTGAGACAAGATGAAGCATTACTTCATTTTTTAATGCTCTCTTCTACTATGTTATTAGCAAATCTTCCCTTGTATTAAGCCTCATTCAACATGGAGCCCATTTTAATATTTATACATTCCAACACATTCGAATTTTTATAGTATCTCAGTTTTTATCTAGTAATGGTAAATTTTGAAACTGCCTGTTTCGTTTCAATTTAACATCTAGTAACTCGAGTGGTTCTTCGAAAAAGGTACCTCATGATGTATGTATGAAACTGGAGTATTCTCAAATTAATTCTGGTTCAGCGTAGCCTATCACGCAACCTATCACCTCGTCTTCAACGTAAGTGACCACGAACTCAGACAAAGGTTTAAAAAAATGTTTCTTCTATAACTTCAGTTTAACAACTGTACAACTCGTGTAATGCAAAATAGAGCTCCGCTGCTTACGGTATATCACAGAACAGAAACGTCAAAATAAAACTTAAATAATTAAGGCATACAATTCAGACTGCAAATTTCAACTGGAAGCTTTGACTCAGACCCTCTAAACACCCGAGCGATCACTTCTAGGAAAAAGCTGAATTCAGTTTAAGTAACTGGATGTAGTCGGAAGTCATGGATGTATCGGAAATTCTAGAGATATGCTCATGCGTTATTGCTGTTGAACTGAATGTTATGGTTCAAGTGCGAAGAACATGATATTTAACAGATAAAGGTAGCACACAAAACGTAAACAAAACGCCCCTTTGGGCTTAATGTAAATTCTAAAGGCCTTCAGATTTTTTTTTTTTTTTTTTTTTTTTTCATTTTTATTTGTACTTTTGTTAAAAAAAAGTGATATTTTTATATTTATTTTTACTTAATTTCGCGATTGTTTAAAGCTTTTGTAAATTTAAAATATTTCGTGTCTTGTTTTAAAATGCTAAATTTATTTCTCATAATTTTAATTACTTGTGAATTTAATAAACTGTATAGCATACATTCACATTTAAAGCTTCCAAATTCATTTCACGTAAGTTTAATTAATTATTTGTGAATTTAATAATTTGCATAACTTACGTTGTCATTTAAAGCTGCCCAATTCATTTAGCATAATTTTAATTGCTATACAAAATGGTCTGAAATAAATTTCATCCAGTTTCATTATCGATACCAATGCCAGTTCAATTATATCTGATCTGGCATCCCTTTATAAAGCGTTTATTATTAGTGTATGCTGCCTAATTTCTGCGAATATCATGCGTGGCAATATAAGTGTACTAGATTTTGGCAAATAATTGAATTTTTGCTGTTGCGAGTAAGTTATTGATTAGGGAGATTTGTCATTATGTTCCAATGAGAAATTATACAAATTTCCATTACCTTTATATTTTATTTTTAAATATTTATAAATTATGTGATAGAGGGTTTTAGAAAACTGAACACTCAAATAATGTTCTTATTTCTTAGGTGTATCTTCAAAACCCGAACCTCCAAAAGCTGAAAAATGTTCCGATACAGAAGTATATCTAACGTGGCTGCCACCCAAATTTGATGGCTTTACTCCTACCTTCGGTTATGCTTTAGAGTACAAAGAACAAAGTAAGTTCTGCTATTTCATTTTAAGATAGTTGCAAAAATTTAGCATATTAGAGAAATAAAATATTCAGAATTAGATTTCTTTCACTCCAACAAAAGCGAAAGACATTGCGTATCAAAAGTTTTGAGTAACCTTAAAAATAAATAATTATAATAAGCAACTAACAGGAGAAAATTTCAGTTTTTTCCTGTGTAATGAAGAAAGATTCAGATATTTTTCTTTGAGAGTATGAAAATAGCTTTAAATTCAATGGTAAATGGTGCTTTCCATTTGATATTCTCATCGCCATGGGAAAAGACATGCTCAAGTCAACAATGGCTCTTCGTTTGTCTCTTTGCAAACTTTTGGTGTATCTGCCAGACGAAGAACTCTTAACGAAGCCATAGTACAAGGCTGAAGAACGTGTTATTGCCACACTACAATAATGTACTGTTAAAAGTTAACTGTAAAGATAGTTTACCATCTCTCAATAAATATCATTTAATAAATTGGATTTAATTGTTCAGACATATACATCAGTGCAAAAGTTTTATTACAGAACAGATCACAAAGACAATAAAGGAATGTTATCTGCATACATAATGGTTGCAAAAAGTGTCCTAGCAGTGAAACACCAATAGATAGTAACAGAAATAGCACACCGTTATCGTAAAAATTAGTGGACACATTTTAAGATGCCTGATTTTGGTTTATTTGAATATGACAAAGCACTCGAGAGCTCTGCTTAAGGGAAAGAATGCCTTCTCAAAGGTTTTCTAAGGCAGACTGGCTGGCATCGACGTTACGCGTGTGGGAAACTACGAAAACTCCCATGCAGCCAAACCCGTTCGCCCGGAATCGAACTCAGATTGAACAACCAGCTACAAGATGTTGCAACTTTATCAAACGTTATCTGCAACAACGTTCTCAATATGCTGTAAAAATTTTCAGAAAATAAAACCAGCATGTTTCAGAGTTGTCGAACTTTACCTCGGATATTTCCGCGACAAGTGAATGCAAATGTAGCTAGCCTCTTCTTCCTCTTAGTTTCCAATCTTCAGTGCCTTGGAATTCGTAAACTACACATTTCTCCGTTGTGTGTTCATACGATGCTCGTCTTCAGTCATGGAATACACTCATGGCCATTTTCCAAGTTTATTTTGGAACACCATTATACCGCACTACTAGAAATTTTAGAAAGAGATCTTAGACTTTGCTTACTTTTATGGCTGCATCTATAGTTCATTCAACTGTACCAAAAATTTGTTCATAATTTCTTTCTCAATAAAAATTTCTTTACATATTCATCGTAAATTGAAGAAAATTGAAGATAAGCTTTCTCTTTTAGTTAAAAGAGCCACTGGTGTTTAATGCGTAGGATTAGTAACGGAAGTGTGAGGATGTTATAGGACAAATAAAACAAAATTTTACGCATACACTTATTTTATTACATTTCAAAATGACCCTATGTAAAAATGGTCGAAGATATGAGAAGTAAGGTACACAATTTAAGATGTCTGCAGCTATAGTAAATGTCTGGATATTTACTTTAGCAACATATTAAGATTAAAACAATGTTTCATAAAATCGAATACCTTTTCATTTCGTTTCAGGTCTGCATTGAAATCTCCAATCATAATAATACGAGCTGTTTTTACGGTAAACTCTTCATCGATCGATAAAGTAATTTCAAAATATTTCATAGATGCACTAAACAAGAGCATCTTCAAATCTCTCGAATTAACAGTTAGATGAATATATATGGATGATAGAATAAATCTTGACTGTCCTATAACGATTACATCAATCATACAAATACCGCCAGCGCTTCTGAATCCTGTATTCTGTTACGCTGCTTAACAATAAATTCTACTGATACACGATCTGCTACATTCTTCAAATTCCTTTAAATCGCAACAGCACTATCTTAACGAAATAAAATACAGCGAATACCCCCCCCGAGACACTGACTGTCTACCAGAGGACCTTGCCACTCACACGAGGTCTCGTATGCGCACGGAACTTTCATGCGCCTAAAATTTCGCTGTTTTTGTGTATACCCTTTGTCCAATTTTAATTTTTTTGTTTGCTAATGTACTCTTTCATCTAATTAATGATGTATTTAGATTGATTGTAACAATTGTAATTTCGAAGATATGAGACTTTGCGCGCAAGTCAAAATAGCTTCTTAATTTTTACTATCCCATCAGACCCTTGAGAAACGTAATCCTACGCGAAAAAAAGTTACACTCAGAAGGAAGTCTCAGACAAATGCTGTTTCGAAAAATATTAGTGGTCATCAACAATAAATTGCTGCCCTTTGTTTCGCGCAAAAACATTACAGCTTGACCTTTCTAATCAGTTTATATTATTTTAAAAGATGAAAAGGTCCTTTATTGATCCAAATAAATTTCAACAGTCGCACCAACTAGTGCTTACAGAAACCAATAACTTTAAATCTTTAAATCAAAGATAAAGAATGAAATAAAAATAAAGAAATTTAAATATAGCCTAACAGCTTCACAGTATAACTATCTGATTTCACTCTCCAAAACTTTCCTTTAAGTATTCCTTCCATTCTATCTAATTTGAGTATCGCTGGAGCTAGAAATTTACATTCTGGCAGGGATATGGAAACGAGGCTGATAGAAAAGGAAATAAACACAAAATATGGGTTTGAAACTTAAATGATACTCTACAATCTTCTAAATACTAGTTGTCAATTGTTGAAGCTTTTAAATTAAGCTAATACAGATGAAAAATAGCCTTTGATGCTGCGCATGCTTCTGTAAGCTATAAATGAAGAGAGTCGGCTTTGAAATGGGCTGATGTATGTATTGACTGGTGAAATTCATTTTTTCTGTAAACCCATTCATTCGGAACTTCGAGCCCAAAAAATAAATGTGAACTCGACGGCGTTTTACTGGAATTAGTTTAATATGCTAAGGAAACTTTTAAATTTTTGAATTAAATTTTCATCTAAGATGTTTACTTGTTTTATGAAATGCATGCATAGTTACTCAATTTTACCTCAAAAAGAGTAAGAATGTAATTTTTTCCTTTAGAGAAGCTGTCAAAGGTGCACGCATTTCTTCTGTCTTACAGAAAGTTACTTTGGGGCATGGCTTCACATAATTATTCATCCCTGTATAGATGTATCTTGTATATCATTTTCTTTAGTAGTTGACCCGAGTTTATTCTGGGACATTCGAACTTAAACAACGAAAAAGGAAAATGTTTTTTTGTTCATTCTAAGCTTATCGCAATCTGAATTGATATATGGTATAATTTTCTAGTATAACCTTTTTATTTAGTACTTTTTAATGGGTTCTAGTTTCTCAATCCTATAATAATTTCCATAGAAATGAGTATAGCTTAACAGACGACATAATATATCTTATTTGTTATTATTATTGGTAATTTATTTGCATTCATTTTACCTTTTGGCGTGCATGACTTTTGTAATCATTGTCATAAACCTTTAAAATATTTTGTTTTCTCATCTATTATATGTTTATCATTTTGATATTAACTGCATCCATCAATTCTTAACAGATGCTGAAACCTGGACCAAACTCGCCAACAACATTGCCCACGAATTTTACCTTGTCCGTAATCTAACACCAGCTACGACTTACAATTTCCGCATCTGTGCAGTTAATAAGTTTGGTTGGAGCGAATTCGGTGTTCCTTCGGAAGCTATAATGACCCTCGCCGAATGTAAGTATCTACTTCAGTTCATTCAGTTAATATCTCTGCGTGAAACCAACAATGAGATAAAATTATTATAAATTTAACAAATTGTAGAGACATTAGGTATTTTTGGAAGCAGGCAAGATGAAAAATGAGCAAGCGTCTTCGCCGGAAATCGAACCACGGACCTCTGGAATACCGGTCCGGCGTGCAGTACCACTACACCAAGAACGCACGCTAGGAAGCGCGGGAGAAATACCTTATATACTACCCCTTTTAAGGGGCGACTTGGGTTTTTTAGGGGACCCAATCGCTAAATCCTGGGTGGGGAGAAATCATCATCCAACACCCTTTTAGTTCGGGAGCCACTGTAGAGACATTAGGATTTTTGGAAGCAGGAGAGATGAAAAATGAGCAATCGCCTTCTTCGGGAATCGAACCACGGACATCTGGAATACCGGCCCAGCGTGCAGAACCACTACACTATGAGGCATGCTAGGAAGCGCGGGAGAAATGCCTTATAAAATTTAGAACAAAAATAAGTAATCACTTTTTGTAACTATTTATTTATGAAACCATTCATAGCTATTAATTTCAAGATTTGATTTGGCTATAAACTTAGAGAATGATTCGGATTTTCCCATAATATTGTGGGGTTCTACCCACTTGACTAACTGTGGAGGAACCTACTATACAGCTAAGCGAATAATCGCTTTAGTTCAGGAACAGAGACGTAAACTCAAGAAAGGTTAATTACCCTTTATTGATCAAAATAAGTATTAACAAATGGCCCCTTTCTCAGGCGTACCGAAAAGCCTACACTTGAGCTTGAACTCAAAATTATAAGAAATAAGACTTAAATAATGCTTAACTAAAGAGGTATAGCCGAAGCTATCAAAATTCTAAGTAGTTGGCCTCTAAATAGCGAATAAGCTGGCTAAGCTATCAAGGGTCTGTAATACGCCCGAGCGTAGTAACAGCTTAGAGAGACTTAGCCCAAAGGCAAACGTGGTACTCGGAAACTCTGAGGCTTTCTTCTCGAAGTCAGTGGAACTTCGACTTAAATACTTATCTTACTCATTTGCATTAAACGCGATTATAAAAACATTCTAGTAGGAAATTGTAAGCTGAAATTAGGATGGACAGGAAAGTAACTTTAACTAACGAATAACTGTTAAGGACTTGGGATAAACCTTACAATATAAATTTTAGAACTGACTACTCTCCTAAATTTAGAAAGAGTAATGCAGACGGCAGACATTCGCTAAGTTTATAGTTTACTTTCAAAGATCGCGATATTAATCAGAAATTTAAAATAACAGTTCTTTAGATATCTAAATTTAAACAATCTAAATTTAACCTCTAAAATTTTTACAATAATTTGAAGCTGTGGAAATGCCACCTTCTCGCACGCAAATGCCATAACCAAAATATAGATTGAAGGAAATTTCAATTCCAGTAAAGCACCAGCTGCTTAACATCAATGGACATCGACTTACAACTAAAACCATGTTATAACAGACTTTTGTCCGGTCATCACAGAGGACTGAAAATTGACAGAAGAGAGTAGAAAAACCTGCAGAAACTGTGATAACTGCCAGGACATACAACAGCTGGTGCTTTACTGGAACCTAACAACTTGTTCAAAATTAGGTTCTTGTTTGACAGACCGAACCTCTATGATGATAATAAATTGCACATTGCCAGGGCTGTCATCTTCGCCCATGACACTATTTGAATAGGCTCAGACACGACAAAAACAAAAAGCTGAGGAAATGTAACTTTACGTTCAGTGTAATGCTTACGCTTTATGGCGAGAGTGTATTAATACACGTGCGGCTGTTATTGTCTCAAATGTTCGAATACTTGCAACTTATGCATTCTTCGGTAATGTTCCTTTAGCCGTCTCATCACTGAGAACGTTGCCCAAGGTGCCACACAAAGGGCGACCCTTTCTATACTATCGAGAGCGGAGAAGTTCCATCTCCGCTTTAGGGAAGAATATTTCTTAGAACGGATCCAAGGATCTGCTACCCCCTCTTGACCTAGCACAAACCTCTAGAAAGGACTTTTGTCTCGCCAGTATTTTAAGTCCCTTCGTGCCGCAGAAACATCATACACTTGCAAACCTCCAAGCGAGCGTCCCGTTTTCAAAAAAATGTGTTTTTAGAATCGCGTTAAATGTATTAGATGAGTGCACTAAAACCATCTTCTATGCACTGATTATTGTTACAGGATCAAACTACCAGCTGCAGATTTCTTCGCAAGTAATGATCTTTCGAAACGCTTCACATTCACCTGCAGAATGCCGACGCAAACTTCCTTGCAGCATTAAATACGACTGCATTAAAAAAAGCGAACATGACTAACAGTCAATTAAACGGCTAACAGTATTTTCGTTTGTCAGGCCTGTTTAGATAAATTTTTAAACATGCATGGGAAGTGGGCATGGCCGGGTGTCACTGCTTTCTTTGAGAAATAAACACACAGTATAGTTATTTTAATAAACAAACCGCGTTACACAGTAGAACTCCAAAGATCCTAATCAACTGGGACCGTACCCCATTCGGATAATCAAAAATTCGGATTGTTGGATTTTTTTCGAAGTAAGGGTATAATTATTGTATGTGCTGTACGTTGAAAATGGAAAGAAAAAACTATTTTTTAAAGAAAAAGATATTTTAATTAATTAAAATGAAAAGATAGCACTTTTACGAACATGTTATATAGCCTACTGGACAGTACTGACAAGTGCTGAAAGCCATTGCTTGCTGAACATCTCGGTCAAAGTAAGCTGTTTGACTGTCTTCATCCATTTTCGGGCAGCCAAGTCGCGCTTCCGCTTGACAATGAGAAGTTGCATATCGTCACACTCGGGCTGACGCTCCATTCACTTCAGTTCAGTTTCGAGGACGGCAAAGGCTTCACTAACTGATGGTCTCGCATCTGCTTCAACTTCGCCACTAAGTTCATCTTCTTCATCGACGCTTTCTTATGTCACACATTCAATAAGTTCATCATTTAGAATTTTACACCCAGAGTCTGACGAATCACACAAAATCCATTCTGCTGTATCCTCAGCATTAACTTCTGAACATCGAGGAATTTGCAAAAGAATGTTTCTTAATTCCTCAAAAGACACGTCATCCTCATCTTCTCCTTTTCTCTTCCCTTTCTTTTCCTTACGCTTCTTTTTCATTTTCCTCCTTTTCCTTGTCTTTTTCATTTGATTCTGAAAGCGATTCCGATAATCAGTGATTCGAATAGTCGGAGTTCCGTTAATTGGTATTGTACTGTATTTAGATTCATACAAATTTGAAATTGCATGACGTTAAATATGCCAATAATAAAGTAATTTTTATTTTAAATAAATAATACTACTTGATTCCATTTTCAGCTGCTCCCAAAATTGAGTTGGGTAGGGCAGAAAAATTCCAGCAGGACCAGACGGATTGCGGACAGGAGCTTATAATGGATACTGCGGACTTGCAGAAGCTAGATTACGGAAGAGAGGATGATCCCTTGGTTTTAGAGCAAGCAGAACCGACAGATTTATATAACTACATATCAGAAGTTGCAAAGTAATGTACTGCGGTTTTAATATATTATGCAGTTTTAAATTATAAATTTCTGATTGTACACTGCTCAAAAAAAATGGGTCAGTGCTATATCTCCCGTTCTACTGGGCCGATTGACAAAATTCAAACTGCGTTTTTCATGTCTCTAAAGCGCGACTTACGATATATATTAGATTTATATATAGCACTATTCTAACATAGGTATTTTGACACAAAATCGGACTTTTTCTGAAATAACATACCAATTGTTTTCCATATTTCGATTCTACGACTCAAATTATGCTAGAATGCCAAATTTTGTAAAATTCGTACAAGTAGTAGTTAAAACATTAGCTCTCAAAATTTTAGCTTCTCAATGTTAATTGAATTTGGCAAATATATATTAATATCTCTTTTTTTATTAAACGTTTTTGATTTTTCCTTTCACATTTCTAAATTTAGGTTCATTCCAAATAAAATTTACCCATTTTTTGTGTTTTATTTTTTAAATTTCTATTTTTAAATAATTTTTATAAATTTTTCGAAAATATTTTGAATTATAACCTATAAAAGTTTTACCATCATCTTAAAGTAGGTGTATTTTTAAGCATACCTGCAAAAAATTAGACTTTTTTATTCAAAATTTTCTAAGATATACACGACGTTACATATTTTCGCTTTTTGAAATTTGGCATCTTTTTTTGAGCGATAATAACGCCATATGTGGTTTATGGATTTTTTGTTACAGTTAATTGCCACAGCTATATGTAACCTTAAATTTCACATAAAATTTTACGGAGAATTAATTATATAAAATTTTTTCCTCAATGATACGTAATAAATATTATTAATACTATATGAAAAGCTATTTTTTTAATTATAGATGATATTATTCAAATTTTTAACTATTTTTTTAAATTTCTCTCTTTCTTCCTTTTTTTAAAAAAATATTTGTAAGAGTAAATTTTTATCTTCGGCGTTTTATCGTCTGCTAACTTTGTTTCAATTGAATTGTCTAAAACTGAGAACTTTCGTTTGATGTTTATTTGAATTTTGTGAAAATATTTTATGACATTAACTGCATTATTTATTTCTAAACAAGCTGTTGCTTATGAAGTGGCTGAAAGAACGGCTTATACTATCATCCATATTTTTAGAGCACAGTATATTTTTATAGAAACATAAGATTTAGAATAATCATTTTTGTCGAATTATGATACAAACATACAACCCTCTAGAGACCGAATTAATGGAAGTTCAATGGTTATGTAGAAATTATCTGCAGCTACTTAATGGCTGGATAAGTGAGCAGGTTCTGTGGACAAGTAAAAGTAATTATATAAACGACATACAACATTCTGGATTCAATTAACAACGAGGTTACGATGTTTATTTAAATGAATTTAAGAAGTTTTTAAACATAAAAAATCAACTCATTTTTTATCCTAAAATATATTTTTACGCGTAGCGCATTTTCATTATATCCTTAAAATTCTAATTTAGAATGTAATTGTCAAGAACTGAATGCTAATCATCAGTAATATAATAAGTAATTATTACGGTTATTAATAAATCCTTCTTATAAAGTAATTGCAAATATTTCAAAAAACTTTCTGTCTGAATGCAAATATTTTTCTATGCAAATATTTCTAATTTTATATTAATCAAGATTGCACACGATATTATTTATTTGCATTTCAGTTCTTACCTTCTGCTCTAGGAGAAGTTACAAATCAATTATATTTAATTAAGGAATGACCATCTAAGTTTAGAAACAGCGTACCATAACAGCAATTCAATTATTGGCGCCGTATCTTTCATATTACTCCCGATTGGCAAGCTACATGATTTTAATGAGTATTCGGGTTTAACTAGTAAATTCATTTGGAAATCGCGCTTAAACTAGGTTAGTTGGCTATTTGAACATAGAAAGAACATGGGAGCTATTTAGTTAAGATGCTTTCATAGAGAACCTTTGTAAAGAGAACCTAGAAAACTACGAAAAGCAACCACGCAACCTGGATTAGACTTCGCAACAAACAATTAGTATCTAACAATCTTAAAATGCTAAGAAACTGGTGAGGCTCCAATTAAATCTCCAATTTAATATTTTATTTTTAATATTTAAAATATTGTTGTATGCTTAGACACAAAAAGCAGAATTTAAGTTTTGTTAACTCGTTAGTAAACTACCAAGCCGTAGTGCAAATGAATATTCAATTACTTTTGCAATAATTGTATTCACTTAATATTCTTGGAATATGAGCTAAAGAAGAAATGTTCTCGGAAGATTAAAGAAGTGTTTAAATCCAGTGATATTAGGTGTGTCTTACATGCTCAGGTATCTAAAAGATTCTGCAAGCCCGAGTAGTTGACTTGTAAATGGCTGTGAATCAACTTTTGAAGACAGGATGGCCATTATAGTGGCCATATAGTCCCTCCTTTGAAGGACGGGTTGTCCATTTAGTGGCCATGTCTTTTTTCCCCCATTTTCCAGGCTGAAAAGTGGGGTGAAATGTCAAATTTGACGTCCCTACGGTTTTAACCAGTTATCTCTTTCACAGATCTTCCTTTTTCGACATAGATGCACCCCTCTGAGTATTCATAAAACTACACACAAGAATCTTGGTTGCAAATAGGAGGTGATTTCTGAAAAGGGGGAAAGCATTCGGCTCAAGATTCCCCGTCCTTTGAAAGCTTTTACTGCTACCAAACCCCCGGCCTCAAACGGCTAAGCAGATGACTTTTAATCTTACGTTATTCAGTCAAAAAACGTATTCCAAATTTTTGGTATTGTATGACAATGCATCTTTTCATTATTCAATAACCAATCGGAGAACCGCTTGTGTTTCGAAAATAAGTATGTGTACTCAGTCGTCCTGCGTGTTCTTCAAATTTGTCTTCTTGTGATTTTTTTTTTCTTTCCCAAAAAACTTAAGTTGCCTCTCAAAGGAATGTTTTCTGACAATGAAGAGAGAAAAGGAGTATAGCATCTACTTTTAGCGGCATGTCAAAAACAGATCTCTTCAAGCCTTCCCTTCAATTACATGTTGTCCAGTCAGACAAAAAGTTGCATCAGAGTAAATTCTATAATCTATTTCTATTACACTCTGATTACTTTATTAACATACAGTGAATATACGATACTAAACCCTTTTACTTCAGCTTCAGTATCGGAATTTTTGACGGATTGTTTTGTCGGAACTAGACTTAGAAGAAGTCAAATTAATATATCGATAATACAATAGATTCAAGTCGAATTTCAAATTTTATTTTCGGAGGGGGGGAAATTTTTCAGTTTTGGTCCATTATCCTAAGTATATTGTTTCGATTCTTATTTTTTCATAAAAGCGAAAATCTTACGCATGGTATACATAAAACGCATAGCTTCAAATTAAAATTTAATAATATACAGGGTGGTTATAATTAAAGTTCCACTTTGAAACGGTCATAAATGGAAAACTACTGGATCAAATGTTGTCAAACTTGGCAACCGTGTAAAGGAGGTCATGGGAATTTATTTTCCGCGAAAAAAGGAAGTTCAAAACCTCTCCACCAGGGAGGGAAAGGGCGCTGTATGCAATATTGTTAAACGATATATGGGTCGGAATCTAACTTAACCTTTTATTACACTGGTTTAATATGCTGTATACCCTTACAAACTTTGAAAAGTAGTACATTTAAAGGCTTAAATTTCGATAAGTCGAGTGCGCCATCAGTGTAAGTGAGAAATTCGTGCGTGAAAACCACGAATTAGCCATTAGAAAATGTGAGATCGCAAATCACTCGCACGAGTGCGTACAATCTGGAAATCGTTTTCTTACAGATCGCTAATTTGTAATTTTTGAAGCCTGAATTCGGCCTTAAAACATGAAGATACTGATTCAAAAGGCTTTTAATCGATTTGGCCAAAGAAATCTCTCATGTTATCTACCTAGTTCCATTGCATTCTTTTACTGTATTCGATTGCATAGCACAGCTAGTTTCATAACTGAACAATTTTCTCTGAAGAGCAGTCGACAGCTGGACCACTGTGATTGCAGCTCGCTTAGAGTCAATGTTAAAATGTTTCGTGATACATGAACTGCAGTAACGGGGCATTTTAGATACTACGATTTTTATGCAGGGCTGGGCCCCACCTCATATGTGTCGCACAGTTACTTAAACGACATTTCACGAATGAACGTCTTATAGGTCGACACTTCCCCTCTTCCCACCAGGGACCTACCTCAACCTCTGTGACTTTTGGCTATAGGGTTATCTCAAAAGCACTGTTTATGGTGATAATCTAAACAATTTGACAGAAATAAAAAATGTGATACACCGTCATGTCCGTAACATTCCTCCTGATATGCTAAGAGCGGCTGTTGAGAATGCAGTAACAGGATTTAACTTACTTTCGAAAAATGCTGAACGCTACATTGAACATGCTTTGTAACACATTTTAAACAGATGTTTTCATGTCTTATTTTATTGAACAATATTGCATACAGCGCCATTTTCCCCCTGGTGGTGAGTTTTTCAACTATTTTTATTCCGTGGAAAATAAATTCCCATAACCTCCTTTACACGATTCACAAGTTTGTTTGATAACATTTGGTCCGGTAGTTTTCCTTTTATGACCATTTCAAAGTGGAACTTTAACTATAACCACCATGTAAATTAAACTTTAAAGGTTTGACAGTTTGGTCAAGTCCCAGCTTTAAAATATATATATAAATATAATTTTTTATATTAATCCTCTTAGAAAGAATGTTTTAAGAAGCTAATTTTCTCTCGAGTTATAGATTGTATAAAAAAACATGATCTTTAATATGATTTAGATTGTTTCAGCCGATATAAGAATCGGGTTACTCGGTGGTACAGAATAAACACTGCTGGACTGTTTTGTTTCTTTGTCATTTAGCAAAAAATCTTTTAATTAAATATTTATCCTTTGAACTTCGCTTTAAACTTTATTTATAGTTAAAATGACTAGAAAATTAAAAGCTGTCTTCAGCTGAAACGCAATTCATATAATTGAT